CTTGGTCTGTGTACATCGGAGCGTCCTGAATGCAGCTGAACTTTGTCGCGAGCCTGTCTTGTCTAGAGGGATAAAGTATTGTTTTTAAAATGCAGGATCCTTTACGTATTGTAAGATTCTTCTCTATCAGCTCTCTGATTTCACTTGAGAAGTAAAATCAGAAGTATAGCGTTTATGCCAGGTCTAATCGAGCCCAACAGAAATTATTCTTAATCACAGGCAAAGAAATGTTGATTAAAAATTCCCCAGGCTGCCTTATCCGTGAGTTACCCACAGGAATGTGGAGGTTGGCGCTCTGTGCATTTTAATCAAAGTCTGGAACCATATCAGCATCCCAATTTGTGGGAGATGCTTCTTGGAGAGAGAAAGAGATGGGTGTTTGCTTCCCGCAGTCCCCACACCCTGTGGTGGTGTGGCCTCATTTACAACGTTAATGTGCGTGCACTTCAGATGGGTGACAGAGAAGCGTCCTGCATTCACAGACAGCACCGTGAGACGTGAACTGGGAAAGGTTCACACATGTGCTTTTACCATAGCAGGATACAAAATGCATGTTCACTTAGAAATCGCGCATGGCATTGAGGAAGAGCCGTGTCACAGAAGGAAACAAGTCATGCAGAAACTTAATTAAAGCCACGGTACCACCCACTCCCTGGGGTGAAGTTTTCTTTCCAGGTCATCCCCGCAGCTAGGTTTGTACAGCGTAGGTGCCAGCCCCGGCCCACGGCCCAGCTTGGATGGGCTGCTTGGCACTGGTGACAGCTGGGGCTTCAGTGGCCGGCCACACAGCCAAGTGGGCCTGCTGGAGGCCCTGAATTTCCTAGGTAGGTAGCCTGGCCGCTGCTCTTCAGCATGGTGTATGACAAGTCACAGTGCACTTCTGAAAAATAACAATCTAGGAGGAGAAAACTGAAAGAAGTGATTTTTGTGTTGATGAGCAGGACCAAGCATGTCTGTAGTTTCTGTCCCAAAGGATGCTACAAAACAGACTTTGCCACAGCACAGCAGCCAAGCCATTGCTTGGAATCCTTTTGCTCTGGTAAGCAATCATCATCATGTATTTACAATCTTCTGAACCGCGTGTAATCTGGGAGACCAACGTTGTCTGGGCACCCCTGGCCAAGGCAGAATCTGGGTGTCTGGCTGACGTATGTGGAGACAGCATCCCATCTGTCATTCTTGAGTCAAAGCGTGAGGCTCTGGGAGAGCAGCCTGAATGCATGGGCCTTCCCTTCACCCTGAAAATACAGGAATCACCCAGTCACCCCTGCCTCTCCCCACCTCATCCTGTTAGCTGTAAGTGATGGGAATCCTCGTATAATGGGAACTCAGTGGACTGGGAGCTGAACAGTCTGGGAGAGTTTGGTCCATAGGCACAGCACAGCCGACACCTGCCTCTCTGGGTTCCTGGCTGCTTGACTGGGTATGCCCTGCCTTGTTAGCGTAAGACATCCGGGTATGCTGCACGCCCACCTCTTCCCTCCAACACAGAAAAGCCAGAATTGGGCTCTGCAGCCAGAATCAGCATGAGCTTCCCCCACTCCAATCCACAAAAAGAAAAACAGAAACGCAGGACTGGGGTAGCCACGCTGCCCGTGTGGGTTGAAGCAATCCTGGAGCGAGAATCACTGCCGAAGACTCGCCGTCCAGCAGGTGTGTTTTATAGCGGGGTCCCCGGTGTCTGGATGCCTTGAGGGAAAGGTCTGGGCTTCCATCCCTCATTGCTCAGGACAGCATTTTGATTAAGGGCCCCCACACCACGAAGGTTAGTGCCCCCTGCTGAAGCCCTGATGTATATCCCAGTTAAACAGTGCAGCTGTCATATCCAGCCTTGGAATACTTTAAAACTTCTTGAAAGTATCTGTGTCTCTGCCAGCAGGCCAGTGTAGACTTTTGCCTTTCCCATCCAAGTTGGGCTCAAATCAAGGCTACGTTCCTGTCGCCTTCCTGATGACTCATCCCCTAAGTGCACTAAATTGACTTTCTATCTGCTTGAGGAAGGGAAAGGAGCTCCTTAAGAGGAAGTGTCTGTTGAGTGTGGGCAGTCTCTTACATGCTACTGAGGAGGTAGGAGGCCAATGCAGCCAGACCTCAGCCCGGTAAGAGAAGGGACGTCCCTTTCCTGGGCATGTTTGAGTTTGAATGTAAAGCTGTGTGCTGTTCACTTCGTTGTAGCACGTGACACATGAAATATGTGTCTCACCCAAACTGATCACTTAGGCCATTTGGGAAGTGAGCCAGCAGGTGGGAGAGCTCTGACTCTGTATCTCTGCCTTTCACATGAATAAAAATAAATCTTTTTTAAAAAAGAGTATGTGAGTGATATGTTCAAATAAAAGGGTAGCAGCTGTACTGCTAATGTTTTTATGTAATTATCTTCATGTTCCACTGCTCATATTGTGTTCAGTCTTTAATTTTTGTTTTAGCATCTTATCGTATTTTTAAGTCAAACGCATCCTGCATTTAATTTTGAAGGTTTGTGATAAAGTCAGCAAATTCAGTGGCGTTTAAGTGCTTACTGTGTGCTGTCCACACTGTTAACACCGCCGGTAGTGAAAAAGCAGGTAGCCTTTGCAAAATTCCATAGGAAATGCTGAGTTCATGTTGGAGCGTAATGGACGTATTTCCCAAGGCTTTGGAAGGGCTCATGCTTATTACTCTATGGGCAGTTAAAATTCGTCCTCAGTTTGTGTTGGTTGTTATACTTTGACTCCAGCTCCCTGCCACCTACCAGGGGGAGCAGATGCTTTGGTGTGCTCAGCTCTGGTCATTACATTTTTTAGGGCAGTGAACCAACCACTGGAACATCTGTCTCTGTGTGTGCTTCCCCCATGTCTCTCAGGAACTCTGCCTTTCAAATAAAGTCTTGGCAGTGGTTAATAGAATTTCAGATGCCCACACCTCTACCAGCTCCACCTCCTGATTTCAGTTTTCCTACCCGAGTGCCCTAGTGGGTAGCAGGTCATGACTTAAGTATTGAAAGACAAATTTAGTTCCTGGTTTCCCGCTGCCATCTGGCTCAGCCCTGACTGCTGTGGGTACTTGTGGAGTGAAGCCCTAGACATCTCTCTTCTGTCCCTTAAATTAAAAAAAAATCAAGCAACAAAATAATCATTATGTTTTCAATTTTTACCAAGGCTCCTATTGGAAAAATTGTTTTAAACAGTGTTTGTATCCATAAGGCATTGAGAAGCATCTGTAGTTTCGTTGTGTACAGAGAATCGGTGCTTTTAGCTTTAACTGCTCGATTGTCTCTGGCATTCCTGTTTTCAGCCAGACTTAGGACTCGTGTCAGTTAGCACAGATTACACCTGCACATAACATTTTCATGAAAATATCTGCAGCAGAACTTGGAAACTAAAGCACTGTACAGTAGAAGGAGTTGTGTTTGGGTTTTTTTTTTTTTGTAATGTTATAATTTTGTAATTAGCTTGTATGACTGCAAATGACTTTAAATTTTGTGTGGTAACAGGAGAAATACCACTGAAAAGTTCTTTTTTTTTTTTAACAGCTGTGAGAATTCAGAGTGTTAAAATGGCTGCTGTCATTTTTGGTATGATCAGTAAGACACATCCTTCATGCCACATAATTATTTATAAATTTTGTTTCTAATATAAACAAGGAAATGCTTTCTTATCAAGGTGAATGAATCAGCATTGGTATTAACATTTTGTGTGGGGCCCATTATTGGACCCTTTATTACTAATTTAAAAACTGGCGGTTAGAACCCACTAATGAATCAGTGAAACTTGAACTTATTGAAGACATTTTATTTTTGAAATGTGATGAAAGTGTTGGTAAATATCTGACAACTATTGATTTCTCTGGAATGATCCAGCTGATTCCGTGTGTTATCTGGGTGCCCACTGCTGGATTTGAATAAAGCTCTCTGATTGGCTTGCAGTGACTTGGGGGACTAGGCCAAGCTATGGCTGTTGTGATGGAATGTGATTCAGGATTTGATATGTTAAATTACTATTTTAATTGTCCGTATTCCCCAGGAGTACATCATGGTCACTTGATGAGTGTATAGAACGTGCAGTTGCCACAAGTCGGTCAGCATTTCCCTTCCCTTCCCTGATGTGTAGTGATTGTGTTTATGGAGCACCTGCTGATGCTTCAGTTGTGTAGAGCACGTGTGGGTCCAGTCAAGGTGCCGCATGGCTGCGAGTCCTTATCACGCCATCTATGATCTCTTTGTCCTTACGGCAGGGCTTACAGCGTGTCCTTACAGCGTGGTCACACCCAGTGCTGCGACAACTTAATCCATTTCTCATCTGCAATGGGTACTTGTAAGCCAGGATCCCCACTTGGTTAGAGCTGGCTCCAGTTCTGTTCCTAGTCTTTGGGGATCCTCTGACAGCAGTTGTTCCCAGTATGCCCACTCTGCACTGACCAACTGATACTGCTTACATCATTTCCAAGAGGAAACATGCTGTGAGGAGCCTGTCGCTGGCTGTGCCTTCCAGGCCTTCCAGACGTGTTGGTAAGCCAGTCCTGAGTGTGTCAGAACTGGTTGCCGGCGAATGCAGTGAGCACGGAAGGCTCTGTAGCGTGTGTTCATCAGAATGGTGCTGGAGCCCGAGTCTCTAAGGAGCAGCCTTTCCCAGGATCACAGCACTGCTCCCACGGACACCTGCCGGGCTAGCTGCAGCCTGATGAGAACCATCCGTGCTTTCTCTGGATCCCTTCCCCTACGTAGCACTTACTCTCTCAGCGAGTCCCCTTGTTTTTCCAAGGACATTAATTCACGTTGTGTCACAGCTTCCGGCTCATCGCATGACCGATGAGAGTTTGTGTCGGAGCAGCGGCTGCCAGTGACCCTGGCTGTGGAATGTGGTTTCTCTGAACACAGTCTGCACCTGCTGGTCTCTGGAGCAGCTCCTGTGTGAGGTGATGAGGCCACTGGGTCGGGCTTTGGCTTTGGCTTTTAAGGTGGCCCTGTCACTCTGAGCTGAAACAGCCATCAGCTGCACTTGTTTTCTTTCTCTGCCTTGCAGGTACTACAGCGCCACCATCCTGCAGATGTCTGGTGTGGAAGATGACCGGCTCGCCATATGGCTGGCCTCGGTGACAGCCTTTACCAACTTCATTTTCACCCTCGTGGGAGTCTGGCTTGTTGAGAAAGTGGGTCGCAGAAAACTTACCTTTGGTAGTTTAGCAGGTAGGTGATTCGGTGAAAGATTCATGTACAGACTTTGTCCTGAGGAAGCGAATAAACCTCCCGAACAACAGACACCGCTCTGATGCCAGCTTGCTGGGCAAACAGTAAACAATTAGATTCCTGTGATACAAAATAATTCTAATAGTAATGATAATGTTTCGTAACACAAGTTAGAATATGTGACCAGAAACTAGAATGTAACTAGAAAGGATGTTACTAGAAATGTTAACCAGAAGGTGGAGTTGGATCTCCTGAGGATCAAATCTGCTGCTTGCTACTTTGCATTCCGCTGAAAGTAAAGAGTGAAAAGGTCAACATTTTGGTTCTGTGTTTAGTATTGATAAACTTCCTTTTTCAGTTAATTGGAGAGCGAGGGAAGAAGTGGGGAGAATCAATTCAGTCCCCTAGTGGCTACAAAGGCCATGGTGACGCCAGGGGCTAGAGGCAGTCCAGACCCCACGGCAGTGGCAGACACCTGTTTACTTGAGCAGTCACCAGTACCTCCTTACATCTGTGTCAGCAGGCGGCTGGAGCAGGTGAGCTGAAGGGTGGTGCAGGCCTGTCACCTGCTCTACTACTGTAGGTAGCCTAAGAGTGGGTGCAGGCCTGCCACCTGTTACACCTGCAGCTATTGTCACTATCCACCCCTGCGGTACTTTTTCAAGTTTAGAAAAGTTAGCAAATAGATTTGCATCATTTTTTTTTAAAGCCCTTTCAACAGAGGAATGTTAGAACCATGTAATTTCTTCACAAAATAAGGACAGACTCTTTTTGTTTCAAACTGGTTTTAATTCTAGGGTAGATTCCAATTGATCAGATGTGTTTTCTGTGATAGATAGCTAAAAAAGACAGAAAACCTGTTCTTAGCCTCAAGTGCCTTTTGTGTTTAAATTCTGTCCATACTCTTTGAGACGAGGGCTGTTTCACAGACACAATAAGAACCCTTGTTGATATTATTTCCACATGGCACATCATGTAATTGCCCAGTGTTTTTCAGCTATGCAGGCTTATCCCTGCTTGCCAATTAACTGTCCTCTAATAGCTCCTTTATGAGATTATTTGGAATAAGAATATATTTTCCATTAAAATGTAAATTTTCTAGGGCAGCATTAAATACATTCGATTTTGACCAAATTAGGACCAAACATTGATCTAATAAGACTTTGTTTAGTCACCCATTCTAGCTTTTTAAAATTTTTATTTGTTCATGATCATTTTTATTTTATTTGGAAGGTGGAGAGACAGAAAGGCAAAGACAGAGAGGTATCTTACATATGCTGTTAAACTTCCCAAATTCCCACTGGGCCAGGTCAAAGCCAAGAGCCCAGAATTCACTCTGGGTCTCCAAGGTGAGTGGCAGGGGCCCATGTACGTTAGCTCCTGACTTCCTGGGTATGCATTGACAGGAAGTTAGAATCGGTAGGAAAGCTGAGCCCAGCATCCAGGAGCCTCTTTATCGCACGTGGGCCTCCCAAGCAGCAACCATGGCATTGAGTTTTGCCCCCAGACGGCGGTCAGATACGTGCTGCTTTGCAGAGGCAGTGACACCGTCCCTGCAGAAGGCAGAGCAGAAAGCTGCTATCTCCTGTTCTTACCTAAGCAGTGGAAGCCACCAGACATAATAGGAGCTGGACTGTGTCGTGAACTCCAGAGGGAAGCTGTGCAGTTGTTTTGATAAGGGATATGAGTGGAGCAGCCCAGGAATATGGGAAATGATGCTATTAAGAAATTACATAAAGGTGAGTGTCAGCAGAGGTTTTTAAAACCTTGCATATATGAGCCTACTGCAGAAGAGAGAGCTGGAGTTTAAGTAGGCTGGAAAACAGCATAAGGGAAGCCTAAATGATAGGTTATTCTGGCTGGTAGTAAAAACACAAAACAGCGGTACTTTTAAAAATTATTATTCTGAGAGGCAGGGAGAGATGTTGACCCCAGCATGGATGTGGACCAGGCAAGAAGTGAAGTCCCCTGCACTGGTTCGCTCTCCACGTGCCCGCCATGGCTGGGACTGGGTTAGGCAGCCAGGTGTTAGCACTTAATCCAGGTCTTAGAGGTGAGTGCGGGATCCTCACCTGTGAGCCATCATCATTGCCTCCCAGGGTCTGCGTGAGCAGGAAGCTGGAGACAGGTGTTGTGAGCAGGTTCTCCAGTGTGGGTTGTGGCCGTCTTAGTTGGAGCAGTGTGACCCTGAGTCAGTCTGTCTGCATAGTGCGCAGCAGGCTGGGTTATCATCTGGCAGAGATTCATCCTGAGTGCTGGAGTTGGATTTGCTACCCCCTGGCATTTTAGGACAACTCCTGAGAAGAGAGAGTTCCCATAGACATTTGGTAAATGAATACCCAGTAGGTAGCTGCTACCTCAAGTGCTCTTGCATGTTTAAATAGTCTCAAAGTGCTTCCTAAATTTGGATTTATTTTTTTTGAGAGCTGGAGAAGCTGCTACCTAACTGTTTTTCCTCCTAACAGCTTTAACTTATTTGTTGCATTACAGTAAGACATTATATTGCTTCTATAAAATGTTTGAGGTTTTCTCGGACGTCACTACCATCCAATCAGCCCCTCGACATCATTCAGGACCCTCGTGGGTCTTGCACCTCCCAGAGTAGGGTGTCTGCCCTGTGCAGGACAGGGGCCACCCTGACCATCAAGCGGATGTGCTAGGATCCCTGCCTGCGGAGAAGAGGGCCTGGTTCTGTAACATGAGCATCCTGTGGGGCCCTTCTCCTCCCACCTGCTTCACTTCCTGGCCCAAATGATGCCCTCCACTCTGTCCACTGATGAAATCCACCGTGGGCTCCTTCTGCATGCACACACCTTCCCTCTTAGAAGCATGTGATGTCCTTACAGCCAGTCCCTACAGTCCACATGTCCTTACAGAAGCATCAGGTGTCCTAGAGCCACCATGGCTCATCAGAGTGAGTTAGAACGTGGAAGACCTGCTTTAATACCAAGGTCACCACTGTTACCTGTCCAGGTAGGTGTACCTAGTGCTGTTGGCACAGATTTTGAGCTGAGATTTTGGTCCCAGCACAAGGTAATGACCCATGAGAAAGGACACTCCTGTGGCACAAGGACATCAGCCAGTGCACCTGCCAGTGGGTGTCTGCCACACAGCTACACTGCTGACCATTGCCTTTCCATTTCGGTGTGGCTTGGCTTTGTTCAGTTGTATGTAGGCATGTGTGTATTTGGTCTTCTAGCAATAGTAAGTAATAAGACTATATTTTAAATTTCTGAAATGGACTCTAGCCTACAGTTTGTAAATTACAGATTTCACACTGCTCCCTATTTTGTATTCATATTACGATTTCTTATATTGATTTAAAAATAATGCAAAACTTTGTCAAAATAATTTTGAATAGGCATTCATTCTTTAAAAAGCACAAATAAAGTGTATTTTAGCTTGAATAAAGCAAATCTTTATGCAAAGAAATAGAAACTGAGTCCATGATTAATTTTAAATGTAGGTCATTTTGTGGTGTTCTGGTCCCTGACATTTTGAAAACATGTTCAGAGAACTGGTCTTTCTTTCACAAGCACAACTAAGGTCCTGACTACCTTTTCATTTCTTCTAATAGTGAGAGGTTTTTATAGCAAAGTGAATTTACTGGTAATAAATTAGAAAGCCAGCAACATTGGGTTTTTTTGGCCACCATGCCTTTTGGAGAAGAATAGTTCTAGAATTGTTATTCACAGACTGCCTTACATGCAGTAATGGTTCATATTTTAATTGGCAGGTTTTGGGGTCTCACTTTTGATCTCCTAAATTAGAATTTCTCAAAATGTGTCTGGGGCATGGGTATTTTAAGCAGGTTCCAGGGGATATTTATGTCCACACAGCAAGGGTCCCACTGTTATGGCAGTCCTAGGGGGAGATACTGTTGTTCTGAATACTTACTGTCAACCCGACACCTGGTAGTTACCACATCAGATTCCTTTCGGAATGTTATTTTCCCAGCATTCTTCACTTCAGTGAAGAATACCTTCTCTAGGGCAATTGTATCAGAACTCTAAAGGCTTAACAGTACACTTGCTCAAGAGGGATTCTTGTCTCGTGATACAAAGAATGTACCCAAACTGCACTGGAGAAAATCTCTTCTTCTGGTGCCGGAACTAAACTCCGGCTAATACCAGTTTTGAACATGTAACTTGATAAATAGGAGGAAAAGAGCGAGTCAGGCAGGTTGATATTTCAAGGGCGTATGAGTGGATGAGAAGACCAGGTGATCATATCGCAAGTTTTCCCACAGTAGAGCACTTGGTGACACCATCCCTCCACCTCAGGTGTCTTGTTCTGGAGGCTTCAGCCCAGTCTGCACACCCTGTTCACCCATGGGTGCCTCAGGCCCTCTCCTGGAGCGTGGGCTGCACACATTGGCACACCCTAAGGTTGAGTTTCCAGGAAGGAGTTCGGGTGGAGAAGCATTGCTTTATGCAGCGTGGAAGTCCAAGTGGAGTACCATCTTGTAGATAGTTCTGTGTGGGGCGGGCATCGGGTGCAGCAGCTAAGATGCAGCTCTACCTGCATTCCTGGTCAGCTTGCCTGGGTTCAAGTCCAGGCTGCACTTGGAATTGCAGCTTCTTGCTAACACACACCCCAAGCAGCCATACACAACGGCTGCAGCACTTAGTCCCTCTCGCTGAGATGGAGTCCAGAATTGAGTTCCTGGCTGCTGAATTCAACCTGGCCCAGTGCAGGGTATTTGGAGCATTTGGGGGAGTAAACCAGAATATGGAAGATCTCTCTTACACTCTCTGTTTCTCTGCCTTTCAAACAAAAATAGTTGAGTAAATGAAACTTTAATATCCTTCCATCAAATTTGGATATAAAATGCAAATGAATTCAGCTTTAACTTTATTTAAGAAATCTGTTTATCCATTCTGGTTATTCTGTCCATATTCTGCAGGTTCTGTTTCTGAAATCGGGAGATTAATATCTTGAGAAAAGTAATGCCCCAACTCTGCTTGGATTTTAAGCCCACACGGAGCAAATGAGCTGTTTGCGTTATTGGCTCATTTTGGCTACGTCAGTTCTGGTCTTCATTCAGACCTCCCTTCTCCTCACGGTTTCTCTGTTTTGATGTTCTGCTGCTAAGGCTCGTGTAACAGCTAGCACTTGCTAAGATTTCATAGCTGGACGAAGCTCTTGCACATAACGCTGTGTTTTGAATTCGCTGTGATGCTCCAAGATGTTTCACTGTGTGCAGTTTTACAGAAGATAAATTGAACTTGGCAAAGGTCTAACCCCAAATCCCAAAGAAATAGCAGCACTAGGAGATTTAACCTTCATCTTCAGATTTTGGGGGTGTCTGGTGCCCAGAGTGATGCATCTCCTTCCTCTCAGTGCCTGCCTAAATTCGCTGATTTAAGCATGTTGTTCCATTCAAAGAAATCATACAAAGTAATAGAGTCAGATTCTCTCTCTCTCTTTTTTTTTTTTTTTTTTGGTGTATCCGTGCCGTGTGTCGCTGGAACCTTGGTCAGAAGGCTGAAAACTCTCTGCCTGACCATAATATGATTTGTTGGGGACTCAGAAATGGACTTGATCAACTGTTCACACATTTCTCATTCTTGCTTCTTAAACTCAGAGACCTGTAGTTCATTCCGAAATATCCACCGGGGGTAGGGGGATACGCATGTTGTATCATCTCTGAAGGCGTCCCGAAGCCCTGCTCCATCTTGAATAACCGCGTTTTTGATCTCCTTTGGCTTCTTGCTTCCTGAGGCCTCACATGGGAGAATGTCATTAGAACTATTTTCTTGGCATCAGAAAGAGCCCTTGGTGTAATTATGCCATCTCAAATGTCTTGATGCATTAGACACTCAAGAATGGTGGCTACATTAACTGGTTTTGAGTATGTCAGCAATCCCAAGTGTTTTCTTTTTAATCAGAAAATCGTTATTTTTTTACTGTTTGACCAGCAGCTATATTTGCCTTGCACTTCACTTTCTTCCTTCATGCGTCACAACGACTACAGGTTTTCCTGAACGTTTGATTACGTATTAGGACAGTTATAATCCAGTGCAGCTGCTTCAGGCTGTGATGTCCCCAAGTGTGTCTCTCCAGGTGCAGTCTGCTTTGGAAGAAAGTTGTTGGCTGTCCTCTGACGGGAACTTCCTGCTTTCTTTCCTTTGTAGGCACCACCATAGCACTTGTTATTCTTGCCTTGGGGTTTCTGCTGTCAGCTCAGGTCTCCCCGCGCATCACTTTCAAACCGGTGGTTCCGTCTGGCCAGAACACGACTTGCACAAGATACAGGTGAGATGCCCTTCTGTTGCCTTTCCCAAACTCCCTGGCACTTTGGGGTTTTGCCTGGAACTCTTCTGAAATTTGGGCAGAGATGCTACCGTGTATGATAGGATCTTTTATTTATGGCTAAAAAATGTCCCATTGTGCCTGTGAGTGGGCACAGTGTTTTCTGTATTCAGTCAGCTGTCAGTGGTTGATGCCTTGGTTGACTCCATGTCTTGATTACTGTGGATAATGCATTAGTAAACATGAGAGTGAGGTATGAGGTTAATACACTGATTTCATTTCCATTGCACATATACCCGATAGTAAGATGGCTGGGTCATACTGTATTTTGACTTGTCGTTTTTTAAGGAAACTCTGTACTGTTGTCTATAATGGCTTTACTGACTTCCTCCCCCTAAGCAGGGTCCCCACCACATACACACACAGGGAACACCCCATTCTCCATCAAAGCTGTGAAATCTAACTTGGAGGGGGGAGTGAGGGTCATGGCCATATACCTTAGGGAGCTGCCTAGGATCCGCATGGTCTTTGAAGATCTAAGTATTAAAAGATAAAAAGCAACAGATCGAACAAGTGTCAGCAAAGGCTCAGAAATTCACTCGTAAAGATACTCGGGTAAACGTGGATCTGTCTGGTTCTGCTTCAGACTCGGAGCTTATCCTGTGTGAGAGAAATTGGGGAGAGAGGATTTGAGGCCGGAGAGACTGCCCAGAAGTTCCGTGAGGGAAAGACTGAAGACCTGGTGCCGGGGCAACTCCAAAACACTCCCCAAGTGACCTTGGCAAGTCACTGGTGTCCTCATCATTCCAGGGCTGAGCTCTCATGCAGAGGAAGTCCAGGCCCTGTGGGCTTGATTGCCCTTTGGTAGGCATGAATGAGGTGAGACACCTGACCTCTTGGGGAGTTTGAGGTCACCTCTTTGGGAATGCAAGGAATTTGAAGGTCCTGCTTGCTGAAGGGTTCCTTCACCACTGGCGGTGCCTGCACAGGGTCAGCTGTTTCAGCTTGCAGTTCTCTGTCTTTAGAGACCCCTGCCAGGTGACATGCATGCATTTTTCTTTGTCAGAGGCAGGGGAGACCCTGCATGCTGGTTCACTCCCAGATGCCATCAATGACTGGATCTGAGGGCAGGATACAGAACTCCCACCACGTCTCCCACTTGGGTGGCAGCGACCCAGCAACTTGAGCCATCACCCCTGCTTCCCAGAGTCTGTAACAACAGGATGCTGGGATTAGGATCTTGGACCAGGAAGCAAACGTAGGCCCTCCAGTGTGGGATGCATCTTTTTACCCACAGGCTTTGTCATCTTGAGCTTTGCATTCAGCATACACGTGGTAACTGTGGGCCGTGGACTGGGCTAGATGCAATGTCATTCACTTTACACCCATTCACAAGTCAGGCTCAGAGAGACATTGAAGCTGGTATAGAAGCTGGCTTTTCAGATTATGTTTAGAATTGGGCCCATTGGAATAAAATATCTGTCGGCACTTGGGGTAGCCTTTGGTTAGCAAAAGGATTCACGACAGCGATGGCTTAAGCTGGAATAAAGCTTCTCTCTCAGGTCAAATAAATTCAGTGGGGGGAGTTGGGACTCAGATGCTACTGTCATCAGGCTTCCAGGCTCCGGTCCTTTCCGCTGTGTTGTCCCAGCATTCCTCATGATCGGCAGGTGGGCCAGGGAATTCTTAGCAGCGCCTTACAACTAGAACCAGTTCCCCATGGTGTCTACCTGAAATCCACCCAATACTTGGCCCTGCCAGACATAGTCTCATGGCCATGTCTAGTTGTCATGGAGACTGGGCAGTAGCTTCTTTTATTGCTTGGTTAGGAGGGAGAGAACAGGCCACAATGTGCCACCTTGCACAGAAGGAGGAAGCACATTGTACATTCCAGCCACTAGAAACACGTGCTAAGACTAGGGCTGGGGAAGTTGTTTGTTTTGTGGGACCTTTATCGGTGTTGCTGCTGGAAATCTGTGGACCCCAGTGGAAGTCCACGTGCTTTCACAGTTCAGCTCCCTTTATAGTCTTTGGGAGTCTAAACCAACTTTGCAGGAGACAGGAAATGTGTCTACCTTATGTGCTGTATCTCCAGCTTTGCAGTGGAAAAAGACTCCTGTTACTTTCTTTTCCCTGGCCTCTGAAACCAGTGAGTCAGCTGCCATTGTTAGGTTTCTTCACCTGTTGCAAAGCCACACTCAGAGCAGCTCCCTTTATGACCTCATCAGCCCTGCGCGAGGCACTTTATTGGGAGCCCTTGCAGATCCTTCATCTTTCAGCAAGACTGACATGCATGCTATTATTTCCAGCATTTTTCTAGTGATGCTGAGGCTTAGGAAAGTCGAATTTAGATCACATGATTGGGTGGACAGTAGAGCTGAAAAGGATGGTCCTATCTCTCTCCAAAACCCAGCTCGTAACCACCTCCCTCTGCGCTCTGGAGTTGAGCATTTCCGCACGCACCGTGCACCTGCTGCCACAAGCCACTCGGGAAAGAGGCAGTGCTTCACTGCTGTCAGCGGCCATAGATCTCAAAATACCCGTTACTCTGTGGACATTTGATCAGTGAGGAAGTATTTACTCAGATAGGTTGGAAAGAATAGTACTTTGAACGCCACCTCTTTTCTGTTGCTGTAAAGATAATTAAGGACAAAGTGATTGTCCATTTATGGAAAATGTAGATAATATATAGTCAGATTTTAATTTGTGATATTCCAAGGATTACAGCTAATTAGTTCTGAAAAACAGTGGCTACCATTTCTAAATTTATAACCTAGAAATCATTTCTAACTACTTACCAGGTGTGCTATTTGCATTTTTGTTTTTTAATGTTAAAAGCCACGAATGTGCATGAATCCACCTTAGAAGCTAACATCATCCCCAAATCAGCTGCTCTAAGGAGGTGTGTTCCCAGAGCAGATTTTAGGGAAGGCAAAATTCCAGCCATGTGGTTAGCAACAATCCGCTACTACTAATTTAGGGGGAAAATGACTATTTTGTACCATACCGTTGGTTTTTAAGATCAAGTATCAAAAAGTGTGAATGAATCAAGATTTGGTGATTTTTCAAAATGTTAAACACAGAGTTACCATATGGCCCAGCACTCCTACTCCAGGCACTGGCCCAAGAGAATCCGAAGCGTATATTCGCACAAAATCCTGTCCGTAAAGTCTTGAACATTTGTTCCTAGCAGTATTAGACATAATAGCCAAAACAGTGGAAATAATCCAAACATCCCATCAGCCGATGAGTGGGTGGACAGAATGCAGGATGTGACAGTGGAGTATTATACAGCTGCGCACAAGGCCTGATGAGCTCACAGAGGAGTCAGCATGCGTGCAGGGAAGAGCAGGCTGAGGAACTCTGAGAATGAAAGAGCACATGTGGTGTCGCTCCGTGTAGATGTCCAGAATAGCAGGAGCCGGAGCGCAGACGGCGGGGACAGTTGCCAGAGGATCGTGGGAGTTGTGGACTAGGGAGGCACAGGATGGTTTGCAGTGATAAAGATATTCTGAAATTGCATAATGATGATGCACAACTTCTGCTTATGTTGAAAGTTTACGGAACGGGAAACTTTACAGTTGCTAGAATAGAATTTCTATGAGTATGGCCAATGAAAGATCCGAGTTTAGAAGGATGTGCCGTGATATCGCCACGTTGCTGCACTAAACGTTGCCCCTTCTGTGTTCATTTTACTGAGTAGAAACAGCACCTCGTGTGGTGTCTGCAGAAGAGACTGCGGGTCCATCCCAAGTGTGGCAGCAGTCGTCTCTTTAATTACACTCATCCGCTTTTTTTTCAGTGGAATACCTTTGAATTTCAGATAAACGCTGTGAGTTCTTGCGCGGGATTTGGAGCCCAAGGGCCCACGCTGGAGATGGGAGTGAGTCCCTGCACCTTCGTCCCTTGGTTTCTCATCTGGAAAGCAAATGCTTGTGCACACTGTGGAAACTAGAGTCCCTGTGTTCTTTCCAGTTTTAGGTTTAGCTTATTCCCTTCCTATTTCTTATCTCATTTTCCTTTTAATGAACTCCTTATAAAAATCCGCACACAAGAAGTGGCATCCTTGGCTAGCTAGGAATCCCGTTCTGCTACATTTTTTGTGTCCTTGCCCTGTGGCTGGCCTCTCTTGGTCACCTGCACCTAGGGGAGCATGAAGCATTGCTCATAAAACCAGCACCCAGGAGAGCAGCCTCTTGGCAAGGTCACTTCCCTGTGGCATGCCAACCTTTGTTCTAAATAGAAGAATGCTTCTTTTTCCCTCATTCTCATAAGAAGTGCCAGGGATTACAAAAGTTAAATCTTGGAGCTGGAGTTGTGGCACAACGATTTTAAGCCTCTGCCCGTACAGATGGAATCCCATATGGGTACCAGCTCGCTCTGCTTTTGGTCCAGTTCCCTGCTAATGCTCCTGGGAAGCCTGCAGAAGATGGAGAGAGAGTACTTGGGGCCCTGCACTCACTTGGGGAGACCCACGTGGGGTTGTTGTCTCCTGAGTTCCTCCTCTCCATTTGGGGAATCAACCTAGTAGATGAGGGTCTTGCCCCTCTCTCCCTGTGCAACTCAGCCTTTCAAATTAATTGATCAGTCATTTAAAACAAAAAATACAAATGTGGTGCAGGCTGTAGCCCTCTGCAGGTGCAGGCTCTTTCCTTCTGCTGCTGCTGTCTTGCTGAGGGGAAAGACTGATGTATCCCATTTGATTCGTACATTCAATGCTTGCAAATAGCATCTTTAGCCTAAAGCAGCTTTAAACCCAAGCTCAGCTCTTAAGTACCTTTGACAATTAAACCTCCTTTCCTGTCATTTGATTCTAAAAATGACTGCTTGCTTCACCTCCACCCACCACCCTGTCACATCCTTTTCCAGAACCAGCAGAAACAGGTTCCTGTACCCGGAGTGTCATGCTCCATCCGGTAACTGTGTGGGACCCCTGAAGGGGAAGGTCTGCCTTGCAGTGAGCCGGGACATGGTAGACCTGCCAAGGACTCCACTCCCCACTGCACACCAGTCGGCCATGGGCACTGGGAGCACTGAGGTCGCTGAGAAAAGTGTCAGGACGAGTTTCCTGGGTCTGACCCATCAGCTAAGGGTTCAGCAGCTTATATCTCAGAGACGAATCCCCATTTTGCCAATTCCTTGTATTAATACCTTCTTACTACTTGCCTTATGACTGTAAGATTTCAGCAAGCCAAGCACACCTGCTATTTCTTGCCTTGAAATCAGCAGTTAAGTGAGTTTTTGTGAGATTGCAGACTGGACGTGTATTTCAGTGCCATTAAAGTCTGGATGAACTTAGCAGCAGGCTGTATTCCAGCTTTGTTGTTTCATGCGAAGTCTTGAACTGGGCAGGTTCATGGAGACTGTGTGCCAGGAAGAGGTGGCTACCATGTAATCTAGAATTCAGAACTCAGCCCAGTCACTGTGAAAGGGACAAACCAGTCTGACATCTGCTTTCCATGGGCACAATTTTGATCTGTGCTTAGAATATTATTAGCACCATTGACTTCGTGCCAATGTATGTCTCAAAGATAGACTGATTTGAAAGGGAAAGTGACAGGAATAGAAGGAAATGTTTCATTTGCTGGTTTGCTCCCCCAGTGTCTGCCACAGGCTGGGCTGGGGAACTCCATCTGGGTCTCCAACATGAGAGGGACACAAACACCTGGACCATCATTAGCTGCCTTCCCAAGCTCCGTGAGCAGCAGAGCAGCTGGAAGCTGAGCTGGCCCTCTGATGTGAGGCGCTGGGGTCCCAAGCAGTGGTTTGTGGTGCCGCGCCACAGTGCAGGTGTCATCTGCCAATACATTTACATTATTCACCTTTATATTTAGTAAACATTACAGAAGTCCATCAGCTCAAGTTCAAGAAACTCTTAATGAGAAAATTAGGATTAGAAAGTTCTCTCCCAATAGGAGAAGTCATACCTTTTGTGAAATACCATCAGGTAGAACCATGGTTGTGATATTTGCTCTCTAAAAGGTCAATTAGCAGATTGCTGGGATATTTAAGGTTTTGAGTGATTCTCTAAATGTCAGGTGGAAGTTAGGAGTTTTGTTATATTTGTGAAAAAAAAAAATTGGCACGTAATATTCTGTGAGATAGGGAAGAAACCCAAGTCCATATGCGGGCCTCATGGGAAGTCGTGTCTCACTCAGGATGTCAGCACTGCCCCGGAGGGGCCCCGTGGCTCCCCGGGCTGGCAGGATGGGGTGTACCCCTGCTGAGCTGGAGCACAGGAAGCTAGAGAGCTGGCGGCAGGGAAAGGGCTTCTTTGTTTTATTTCTTTTTTTTTTTTTTTTAAGATTTATTTATTTGAAAGGCAAAGCTGTACAGAGAGAAGGAGTGAGACAGAGAGCTCTCCCCTCTGTTGACTGTAGCAGCCAGAGCTAGGCCACTCCAAAGCCAGAAGTCATTCAGCATGGTCTTCCATGTGACTGCGGCAGCCCAAGCACTGGGGTCGTCGCTGCCTCTTTCTCGGGTACAGTAGTGGGGAGCTGGATGGGAAGCAGAGCAGCCCACCCTAGAACTGATGCCCCTAACAGATACTGGTGCTACGGGTGGTGGCTTCTCTGCTGCCTTCCAGCAGCAGCCCACGCTTCATCTGTACATTAACTATGCTTTCTGTTTAGGGGAGAAGAAGATAACTGGTGGGGCAGGGTGTTCTGTATCCTGGAGGACTTGGCCGAGAATCACCTTGAACTTCACCTTTACTGGGCAAGAGGGTGAAGAAGTGTGGGACCAGAGTGGTCTAGTTCATGTCCTAGTTGAAGGCTGAGAATCTGTGCCTGGCGCCTGCAGCTTGGTCTGTGCAGTGTGAAGCAGAGGAGAGAAGGAGCTGTGCCTCACCCATCCCAAGGGCTCTGGGCGGACACGCCTGTAACAAACAACCCATGAAGCAGAGAAAAAAACGTGACATCCTTGCTTATCCAGAATTGTGTGTGATGTAGGCAGAAAAGACCCACAGACTTGGGGGTTGCGGGGGAAAGGCTGTGTCCTTACGCCTGTCTGAGCAGAAGTGTGATGGGAGAACATGCAGGGACGACCGTGATGAAGTAGCAGAACCCAGCAGGGCCTGTTTGTTCTAAAGCTTGCTGGCCTCCTGGCATGAGGGCCACGGAGCCTGGCTTCAGGAGAAGCTAGTGTTCTTGTGACCACACTCGGGAAAAACAGCAGGACGAGAAGGTCAGAGGGCCCAGGAACATTCTGAACTGCACCAAGGAAAAGCTGTCTCCTAGGAGGGTTTGGAAAAGTAGGGGCTGGATTTGAAGCAGGTTGTGGGTGTTTGGGATGTCTGGTGTGGAAACAGGGAAGATTCCCCGTTAGGGACGGGTGGTGTTTCCCACGGCTGTAGGAAGCCAGCCACAGTTGAACACTGTGTATGTTCCCTGGGCGCATGGCCCATGGGTGCTGATGCTGGCTCAGTGAGCAGCATCCTATGGGCGAAGAGACGGGCAGTGGGAAGAGCCACTGTCGTGTCCTGCTGGGTGACCACTGGAGTTTTCCCAGGAACGGGTCCTGGGGCAGGAAGCATAGCCGTGAAGAAACTGCAAGAACCCGGGGGCATCTGCCACTTTTCCTGTGAACGGCAGGAGAGCCGCTCCGCTTTGCAGGTCACTTGACTTTGCTTGCTCCTGACGCAGGAAGGTATAGAGAGTAAGCAAACAGCTGGGTGGTGGGGAGGGCAGCCGTGTTTCCTGGTCCCTGTTGTCAGGGTGTTACTGTCATTTGCTTCTGCACCTGTTTCCAATGTGGCAGGGTCCTGGCATGTTCGTCTTTACTGTCTCTGGTGCTCTGTGCATGTCTGCCGTCTAGGAAGTGTTCAGACATGTCCAGCGGGTGCTGGGAACAGCGAGAAGACTGCCGTGTAAGCAGGCTGCAGGCTTAGGTTAGCCTCCACACCGGGGTGTGTGCAGGACAGGCTGGAAGAAGGCTACCCTTTTTTCCCTATACCCGCTTCTTTTAAATTAAAAATGGAATTAATACTCAGTATATAGTTGTTAAAGGTGCACATGTATACCGAGGTGTTAATGTGGCTATATTTGCGTATTAGTGTTTTTAACTTCATTGGTTTGTTTTTAACTGATAAGTGGAGACAGGGTGACCTCCCATCCTAAGGTTCCTTCCTCCAGAGTCTGTAAGTAGCCAGTTCTGGGTCAGGCCAGAGCCAGGAGCTGGGAGCTCCATCAAGTCCCCGCTATGGGTAAGAAGGAACCCACTACCTGAGTCAGGAGCCAGGGCTGGGAACTGGATCCAGGCTCTGAGACACCAGTATCCTAACTAGTGTCTCAACTGAAATCAAACACCTAGCAACACAATTTTTAGAAGAGAAGAGATATCTAGAAGAGACAATCAGGAAAACATAATGCTTTGATACAGTTTGACAGGCGAGGAGGTGCCAGTCTAATTTGGAAACAAATGTCAGCAGTTTAGAAAAGCAGACGTTCATCTACCCTGTGACAGCTGAACACAGCTGTGCCGAGGTCCTCTGGTCACAGCCTGCACTCTCTTCCAGAATTGCTGTAGGGTAAGGGGGAGATGGAGGACTGGTTTGTTGGTCATCTGTGATCCAGCTCGACACCTGCCACTTGCCCTGTCCCAGGGCCCCAAGCCCAACCACGGAGCAGAGTGGGCGACTCAGGGCTGCACACCGCTTCCATCGTGTCGTGGGTACCTGCCATGGCTGCATGTGTGACCACAAATCTTTGTTGTTCCCAGTTACTGCGATGAATGCATGCTGGATCCAAACTGTGGTTTCTGCTACAAGCTGAACAAATCCACTGTTGTCGACTCTTCCTGCCTTCCTGTCGATGCGGCGTCTACCAGCGAGGCAGCCTGGGGCAGGTAAGAGACTTGCAAACTGCTGGAGAGTGAGGCAGGGAGCTGCAGTTTGCTTCCCATGTCCTGGGGTGTGGTGACTGCTGCCACTGCATACTTCCCACACGCAGGGGCACAGAGGTAGGCCCTACTTCCAAAGACTTGCACCCCAAACCACCTGGCCTTGTGAGATGCAACAGTTCCTGGTCTAGAATTATGAAGATTTTGAATTTTGCTTAACAATAACTGCACGGGTTTGCGATCACTTGCAGCTTTCTAGGTTCACTGGGAAAGTCTCCCCATGGAAGCAGGCATCTTCTCCCCCTCGCCAGAAGTCTGAGAGCCTCACAACAGAGTGTGGGAAATAATACAGCAGAGTGTGGATAGCTTCCTGCGATAAATGCATTTCACTTCCTTTATGTTAAAATGAGTCTACCCATTTCACTCTTAGGTTGTTGTGGTGGTTGTACGCCGTTTGTCCCTGGCCTGTGGCTGCTGTAGGGAGCAGTGAGACAGAGCTGCCCTTGAGTAGGAAAAATACAGAGAACAAAGATGACTTTGATGCTCAGGGAATCTTCTAAGAGTGGCTCAGTGTCTGGGCAGAAACAGAAAAAATACCAGCCAGGCTTTGTGATTCTCCCGCCAAGGTTGGCCTTCGCTGGCCGTTACCTCCGGTTTAGCTAGTAAGAGGCGTTTCAGGGTGAAGAACTGAGGCAGTTTCTCGGTCAGACATTCTGATCCATACTCCTGCACTCTTTCCTGCCAAGATGCAAAGTGAGACAGAAATGGGGTTCCTGAGACAGCCTCAGCAAGATCAGCAATACAGGAAATGAAAAGAGAGAGGAGAGAGAGCAAGAGAGAGAGAAGTCCAGAGTCACAAAGACAAACAGTAGTGGTTGTCAGAGAATTTGCAGAACCAACGAACTTGGTCAGTGGCAGCGGTGGGGACAGCCTGGCCCTCTTACTTGGTCAGTGGCAGTGGTGGGGACAGCCTGGCCCTCTTACTTGGTCAGTGGTGGGGACAGCCTGGCCCTCTTTGAGCCCCAACTGGCATCTGTCAAGTGGGCCAAATCCCACTGCTGTGTTGAATAATAGGGCTGCTGTGAAGGTTAAATAAGTGCATCCTTGAAGGCCATTAGGGAAGTGCCAAGCCCTGTGCAAGGATATCCTGCGCTGGGTTTGTCTTCCTTGTGTTTCTAAGAAATGTCAATAACAAGCTTTCTGGATTGCATTCGGCACTTGCTGAAAGATCAAGCCACGGAATCCTTATAACCCCTCAACTGCCTTCTGGAAGACAAAACCATTGGATGCTCACCTGGCAGGCCTGCTGACCGCCTTCGGGGATCTTTACAAATGAATGTGCTGGCTCAGTGTGTGTCTCCTGTGAAGTAGCATTTAGTGCTGGAATAGCTCGGTATATTCCCTGCTTCAGCAGACACTCGGCTGCAGCCCCCGCCTGTTGCCCGGTTGGTCTCCTCTCCCCAAGCAGATTTAGTCCACCTGCTCCCCTTGCTGGAAGACCCTTTAGGAGTCCCTGCCTCCGTGCTTTTCCTGTTGCTGTGCCTGCTGCCTGCAGTCGGCCCTCCCTCTGTGTTTCATCCCTGCCTGATTTCCGACAGTCAGTTTGCCGTGTTCCTTGTGGTTTTGGTGATGAGCCGTGCCTGGTAGCGCAGCAGTGCTGCAAGGGCCTTGCTGTGAGCCTCGGATCGGTGCTGGCTGATTGAGAATGCTTTTCAAAATTGTTCTGAGAAGTGCCCAGCACAGTTCCACAGAGCTGCTCCTGGCAGGGCAAGAAGAGCATGTATCTGGTGATGGCGTAAGACCAAGTGCGTCAGCAAACTGCCAGTCAGAGAAAGCAAAGCAGAAGTCTTTTGAGCAGCATACAGGTCGAATGGCACTGTACAATGATTTAGTCCGTATTACTTTTCAAAGGGGACTTGACTGTGCGTTCCTCCTGGCAGGACACGCCTGCCCTGAACGGCAGCTGTGTGGTGTGTCTGTCCTTCTCCTTTTTCCAGAAATCACTGCAGGGCCCCGTGCCTTGGGGCTGCTACTTTTTCATGTGCACAACTTGGATGCAGCAGCCTTCTCTTTGGCAGCATTGACACGCTGTGTGCTACAGAGGATTTCAGGTCAGCAAACCAGGGCACCTCTCGCTTTCCGCTCCCTCTCTCTTACACAGTTGTCCAATGTCTAAGTGGGCACAGCATTCAGATCTAAGACACGTTTTACCAGTTTTAGCCAAGTGGTCCCAGTGATAATTGCATTTCACTGCCTTTTTCCCCCATATCTTAGATTTCTTTTGTGCTCTTTATTCCCCCCCCTCAGTTCATACTCGCTTTGTAGTCTACGCGTTTTCACTGCAGAAGATTAAAGGAGACCCCAAGGTCCTTGTTGTAAGAAAGAGGTACGGTCTCATGCCCAGGTGTCACACGTAGAAACGAGGCTGTGGGGCAGAGTGCGCAGGAACAGGGATGGGAACCACATGCGAGAACAGAGCTGGGCGTGCAGGCGTGATGGCGATGCAGGGGGCGGGGGTACGTTTTCATAAAAGTGGAAATTGCAGGGAGTGAGTTCGTGTGCATCCTGGGCTTGGTAATGACTTTGGATCATTACAAAGCAAGGCAGCACTCTCTCTTACTATGAATAAAAAAAAAAAGCATTTGGTAGCAGCATGGTTTTATGCTTAGACAATAAAGATGAACTAACTGGAGATGAATAACAGTTGCGTAGTTGAGTGTGTGTTGTTTACAATGTCTGCTGCCACTTGAGGGGAAAGGGTTTTATTTCCCTGGTCCATTCTGTCTCATTTATGTGCCTGCCCTGGCCTGGGAAAGGATGCAAAAACCAATTCGTATCATTTCTAAGCCAGAGCGTACAGGTTCAAGAGTGCTAAACTCTGACTTGACGTAGTTGTATTTCTCTATGCAATAAGGGATCCCCAGATACGAGGCACTGTTGGCTTGGTTACACAGTAAAGACAATGTGAAGAAACCCGGCTGACCTGAGTCAGACGCGTGGGGTGGCAGGAAATGCAGCTGGCCATCACAAATCCCTCGGAGTTCTGTGTTGGTTTGCTCCTTCAGTGTCACCTGTTGAAATTCCATTGTTCCTTTTATCAAAGGAAGCTCATTACCCCCAAAGTGACTCAGTAAAGGTACAGTACAGACAGGTTCCATAGCCAGTCAGGAAAGAGGGTGACCAGACAGCCTACGCATGGGGGATTCTGCTGCAGGCAGTACGGTGCTGTTAACCTCAGTGGGGCCCCATGTGAATGGCTGTAGATTTACAAGAGAAAAGGGAGGGGGCATTCTAACAAATTGTGCTAAGAACAGGTAGAGGGCAAAGCAGAGCATTTGGAAATGTGTTAAGGACTGTGGATGGGTTGGTGACATGTGCGTTACATGGTCTTAAATAGGATCTGTGCCCCAAAGTACCCAGCTTGGATCATGTGAAATGTGCAGACATTACCCAGTACCAAGCAGGTTCCAGAGATGATGTCAGAACACAGCATCTGTCCCCAGGGTGCCCAGGAAAGCTGCCTCCAGATGCCTTTCACTGGAAGGTGAAAGGTCTTCATTGGCTGCAGGACAGTGAGTGGTGTCTTAAGGTGTGCCCAGGATTAGCCAATTTTATTTTCCGTTAAGGGGCACATGTGCCCTGAAGCCTTCTAAAAATGAAAAGGTGTGAAATTTTGCCTTTTCTTTGGTTACAGAATAGATGAGTTAAGGGGAAATATGGATACAAAGAAGTTCTGCTAGAATATGCTCATATTCCCAGTTCCTTACGATTAATTATTGGTAGATGCAACTGCAGAATAGCACTTGACGCTTTGCATGGATGCTGTACCTGCACCTGGAAATACACAGTGGCTTGTGGTTGTTTTCCTGAAGTTGTTTCATAACATTGAAGCTGGGCACCATGGTCCATGCCCTTCAAAATGTATTAAAGACTGGGATGTTCTTTGTAAGGTTTGGAGGGTAAGAGACAGCAGCTCTACACAAGTGGACTTTATATGTTGAAGAAGTGAACCCTCCTTTTATGAATGCACAAGCGAAGGACAGCATGTGCTGCACACTCGGCTTAGCTCAGGAATGTTGAGGAAAGTGTGTGCGTTCACAGTGTGTCCGAGCAAACACTTATGGTAGACTCAGGCAAAGTGGTTCAGGTACAGGATGCGGCCTTGCAGATATTGACAAATTGTGTCTTCATGACTTAAGTATTTTTTAGGTACTGCTGAATTGCCCTCCGCCCTCCCCAACCTCCCCCCAGGTCTCGGTGTCTTGCTTTAACTTTCTCGGCATAAATGAGAACGAAAAAAGATCTCCAAACTCTGAGACTATTTATAAATTATTAATTTGCTTTTTGAACTTGGGAAACTCCTGGAAATAGATGGCATGTATTAACCTTGGCTGTCGCTGGAGGGCTGGAAGGGAAGCTGTGCTTCCTGAACGCTCTGACCCTGCGCCCGGCCTCTCTCCCGTGGGCTGCAGACGGCCGCCTGCCCCTTGAGCAACACCATCACCTTGGGTTTCGGGAAAGCACTTGAGGATGCAGGTCTGTGAGCTTTTCATTCTTTGGCTTGGAAATAAGGCGGCCATGTAGCTAGCCTTGTGTCTCAGTGGTTAAGCCTCCCCTGGGATGCACACATCCCCCATAAGCACTGGTTTGAGTTCTGCCTGTTTCACTTCCAACGCAGCTCCCTGCTCAAGTGCCTGGGAAAGCAATGGAGAATGGCCCAGGGATGTGGGAGAACTGAGTGAAGCTTCCAGCTAATGCCAACTCTAGCCACTGTGGCCATTTGGGCAGTGAACCAGCAGCTGGAAGATATCTTTTCTCTGTAATTCTGCCTTTCAGATACGAAATTAAAAAAAAAAAAGATTCATTTATTTTTATTGGAAAGGCAAAACAAGGGGGCAGATCTTTTATCTGCTGATTCTTTCCTAATTGCCATGTCAGCCACAGCTGGGTTGATCCAAAGCTAGGAGCCAGGAGCTTCTTCTGGATCTCCCATGCAGATGGTCACAAGTCTTTGGGCCATCTTCCACTACTTTCCCAGACCACAAGCAGAGAGCTGGATGGGAAGTAGAGCAGCTGAAACATGAACCAGTGCCCATATGGGATGCCAGCACTTCTAGGTGGAGGATCAGCCAATTGAGGCATCGTGCTGACTCCCAGAAAATAAATCTTAGAGAGAGAGAGAGAGAGAAAGCAAGGAAGCTGGCAGCCAGAATTTTAGGAAGAACAGGGAGATGAAGGTGAGGAACAGAGCCAAGTGACGCCTGAAAGTCGGAGAGATGTGCGTGAAACTCATCTCCATCTGCACTGCCTGTTGAATCATGCGCTAAACAGTGAGATCTTTGCTTAGGGCATGGCAGCAAAGCTTTGTGTCTGGCTGAGCCTGGGCAGAGTATGGGATGGAGAGGGTAGGAATGGACAGGGCCCACCCATTAGACACACCTGCAAAAATTGCCAAGGGGATCACAGAACAGGTGTGTGGCAGCGTCCCAGGAGCCTCCTTTGGTCACCTTAGATCTAGACAAACACTGTGTCTCCCAAGCGACCCAGCTTCCCTTCCAGTTGAGACGCTAAGGTCTGCACTCCCTCTGTTGCTGTCCTGAGCTGACTTCTCAGTGACAGGGCATCATTGTAGGAGGCAATTGTTGCATTGTATAGAGGCAGAAAATATTCACCAGCAAAGAGTGCTAACTTGAGTGGGCTGAGCAGAACCAGGAAGACAGTGATAGTGTGAGAGATAAGAGGGCTGGACAGACTCCACGGGCGTGGACAAACTGCAGGGGCATGGACGCTGGTGTATCCCCAGTGCAGCTTGCTCATGCTGGCTACTCTGGGCAAGGACCCGCCTCTGGCACCAGCGGCATCTCCACAGCCCCTACAGGGCCTGGTGACAGCTGCGGCTTCACATTTTTCATGTGTGTTTAGGGTCTGGTATCAACTGTCCCTGGCTGTTGAGGTTGTTTTGTTTGTAATGTCTTTAAAATAACAGTGAATACTTAAATGCGCAGTCTCAGGGTATCTGTCATTGGACTTACCAACTTCCGGAGTCCTGAGAAATACTGATAGCTGCTGCTGGAGTCATTGCCTGTGACACCAGCATCTTATGGCAGTGCCAGTTTGAGTCCCAGCTGCTCTGCTTCTAATCCAGCTCCCTGCTAATACACCTAAGTGCTGAGACCCCTGCCACTCCACATAGGAGACCCAGATGGAGGTCAGGACTCCTGGTTCCAGCCTGACACGGCCTGGAATGTTGCAGTCATCTGAGGAGTGAAGCAGCAGACAGAAGATTCATTCTCTGTATGTGTGTGTGTCTCACTCGCTCTTGCTCTGTATCACTTTGACTTTGAAATAATAACTAATTTCTAAAGAAGCCCCTGCTGTGTTGGCCCAAACAGGCTAACAAAAATCAAATGAAGTAAACGTTAAAGAAACAGATGGTTTATATTTAAGCCAAATGTATTGAGAATTTATATGAAATATAAAAGGTCTAGAAATTTCAAATAAAAGGCAGAGTCCCCAATCTTTTAGATGAGAAAACAAACTATTACTGTCTATTGTCTTTAAAAAAAAAAGTGTACATGTGAAGACAGGTTAGAAGGAAAGGCACAGAACTGACTTGCTTTTGAAATGCTGACCACGTGAGAGATGGAGTATTGTTAGTAGTAGACAGAAATTCTAAGGAATATCATCAAAGATAAAGAGGGGCCCTTCACAACAATAAAGGGGCCAAGAGGTTAGGACTTTGTGTGTGTGTGTGTGTATTCTTGTAACTCATAAGAGATCTTTGAAAATAAGTTTTTACACAATTCCCAAGTATTTATAAATTTAGCAACATAGTAATTATGACACTGCTTGAGATGCTTCTATCCCATGTCCAAGAGTGTACATGTCCAGGAACAGTAAATTATCCTGTACATCAATGGCCCATTGATTTCCAACACAGATGCCAAGTTTGTGGTGGCAGGGATCCAAGCACTTGAGCCATCTTCAGCTTCCTTTCAAGCACATTATCAGGTAGCTGGTCTTTTGATTGTGATAGAAACATTCGGGACTCAAACCCATGCCCATACAGAATGCCAGTGCTGCAGGCAGTGGTTGTGTGTACGGCACCACAAGGCCAGCCTCGTGCTGTGCCCTCCATGCCCCCGAATCTCTGCTTGATGCCTTTCTTTTTTGTCTGCACCAAGGCCTAAGGGATTTTCTCAGGCCATTCATTCAGCTCGGTAGTTTCCTTTGCTTGGTTCAGGTCTGCTGAGTCTGGCTGCTGCAGGTCTCCTGACGTGCCATGGAGCTGCTGTGGCTGTTGCCACCTGCTGCCTGTTGCTAACAGCCCACTGTTTACTACTGTCATCGTACAAGCTCACTTCCACCAGGCTCTACCCATGAACTCCCATAGGATGAGAGCTTGTCCTTCCAGAAAATGCCTTGTGTTTGTTTCTGTCTGGGCCACGGAACTGTTACCAACATGGGAACTGAACCTACAGTAACAGAACGTGTTCGCATGATTGCCCTGTGCTGTCTGCTTCGGGTGGGAAACGTGGAGGTGACACTGCCTCACTCCTTATCCGAAAAGGATTAAGATGGTCTGTGCAGTCACCCCGGGAGGCTTGAAAGGATGGGTGGCGAGGGCTCTTTTCCAATGTCATCGTCTTGGCTGCCGCCCCCTGAGGTTGAGCTGCCGTCTCAGGGCTACATGTATGTCCTACAACACACTTCTAATGTACATTTTTCTCATAGGACATTCCTAAGTGACCTTGAAACAGCATTGAAACAGTGATCAAGTGGGACATTTAACCTGTGGTTGTAAGAGCAGACATTCTATCCATTGATTTGTGTCATTCTTGTCCACAGACACAGGTACAAGAGCCCCTAGCTGCGTTGTGAGTTGCTTTGCAGCCTGACCTCTCACCAGAACAGACCCAATCTCCCGTATGCCACTGCCTGTGGGCAGGCGTGTCCTGTACAGCTTCTCCCACTGGGCTCGTGCCCTGGGATAGGACGCAGTCGGTACAGGATGGCTGGGGACTCGGCTCGCTGGTTTCATGGGTCACGCTGCTGCTCTGTTGGTCTCTTATTGCAGCGGCCATTCCTTCTCGTGGAGGCCCTCCCCGGACCTGCACAATCTAGCTCTTGTGTGTCGTCCACACCTCGTTCACTACAGATTCTGAGATTCAGTGTGTGCAAAATGAAAGTTGAAAGCCACTTTTAAAAACTTGAGGATTTCGAAACTGACGGGGGCATTAAGGGATGTGGGTTCTGTTTTGCGTGGAAGGCCAGGTGCAGTCGCACAGGTGACGGGCTCCTTCGGGCCAGCGCTGCTTCCCTGATGGCTCAGTTGTGCCCCACAGCCCCATGGTCATTATCGTTCTCCAGAACGATTTGTTTCTCTGTTGGCTGTCTCCCAAGTACTAGAACACGAATTCTGTGCCAACTGCGACTCCTGTGCTATTTGCTCTTCTAGTATCTAAATACGGACCTTATTCTATAATTATTTTTGATGGTATTTTTGTGGTTTTGATCTCAGACTGGCTGAGTTGTTTATTTTCAGCATGAAGATACTGGTTTGCTTCAAGACTAAAAACATTTCAGAATAACATTCCCTTGAAAAATCTCGAACAACATGTCTTCAATAGATAAAACTGTAAATAAACGTTCACAATTTGTAAGGCATTAACTTGAAAGTAAGAAAAAGAAAGTTCCTCCCATTTGGTAATTTTGAAGGTGGATTCTAAAACCCGAAATAAACAGATGCTTCAGACGCTTTACATTTTTGTTGATACCATCACAAAATATTTATTGTTATTTATTTAGAACAGGAAAGATTAGTGTTATTCAGGTTCTTAACAGCTTGTAAAGGCAGATTTTACTATGGGGAAATACTTTTTGGACAGAAAATTCAGCTTAAACTCAAAACTTAGCATGTGGGATATGTTGTTGGACTACAGACTAAGCTACCGTCTGCAGTGCCAGCACCCCATGTTGGAATGCTGATTCAAGTCCCAGCTTCTGCATTTCCAAGTTGTCCCCGTTCCACCTGCCTGCTCATGGGCCTGGGAATGGGCAGTGAATGACCCAAGTGTTTGGGTCCCTGCCACCCAAGTGGACTAAGCTGACGGAGTTCTAGCCTCTCGACCTTGGCCTGGCACACATCCATCAAAACCACATTGGATTTTTGCAACTGTGCCTGGAGTACCATGTTCATACATGTATTGAATTATTTTTCAGGTGTGAAAATGAAACTAAATTCAAAACGGAAGAAGTGTTCTGGGCCTATAACTTCTGCCCCACCCCCTACTCGTGGACCGCGCTCCTGGGCCTCGTCTTGTACCTTGTTTTCTTTGCCCCTGGTAAGCAAGCCTGGGACTGCTGTTGTGTGCCAGAATCCCTTTTGCGAGGACACAGCTACCAGTTTTCAAATGCCTTGTATTTTCCACTCCTCAGGCATGGGGCCCATGCCCTGGACAGTGAACTCTGAGGTGTACCCGCTCTGGGCAAGAAGCACGGGCAACGCGTGCTCGGCGGGCGTGAACTGGATCTTCAACGTTCTGGTGTCCCTGACGTTCCTGCACGTGGCGGAGTACCTCACCTACCACGGTAGGAGGCTAGCTTCGCTGCAGCCTTTTATCCTCTAGATGCCGTTGGTGATGGACAGACTGCAGGTATTTTTGCTGTTAGAAGTGTCTCCAGGGGTTGGGGGAAAGGACAGCTCTTGTCCCCCAGAGGCCTCTGAAGCGTCCTTGGGGGGGTTCCCTCCTGGGCCTGGCCGCTCAGCACTGCTCCCCACGGGCAGGAGGCCTGGATCTGTAGCCCACCCACGGGGCCAGGAATAGACCCGGTCCACTACTATCGCAGTGCTTTGCAGGGCATCCCGCTGGCCCGAGGCGAAGTGTGCCTGAGCGATGGGCATGAGGCAAGGGGCTGCAGTTCCCCCATCTCCTGCACAGGCCCAGTGTGTCCACTGTGAACGTCCGTCCCCTCCCAGCGGCCAGCTGGAGCGTGCTGCAGAGTAGGCTGCATCTGGAACCGGCCGCATATGTGGCACCTTCAGCCCTGCACCCGCTGGCCGGAGTTTGTGCAGTTCACCAGCTCTTCTTCATGCTATGATATGAACACAAAAACTATTTCTTCAGCTTTGCTGCTTCTTGTGACCAGTTGCATACCTAAAGGCCAAAATACGTCCTACTGTTCGGAAAAAGCATTGTTTGTGGAAGCTGTGGGCTAGGTTACACAAGAGCTCCTGCCATCCATTTTAATGGCCAAGTGCTCACTCATGATGCCCTGTGTCAGGCTGGCATCAGTGACCCAAAGGCACAGGGCCTGGCAGGCCAGCCCTCCGCTATGCACCGCACTGCCCCAGGCATCACCTACATGTTATTAATTTCCATAACCTGCGTGCTTGGTTAGCGTGCCTCTCGGTGGGGTTCTTCTTCAGAGAGACTCGGTCTTCTGTGTAAGGTCTCAGAATCTGAATTGCTTCCTAACCAGCATTGCTTACACGGGTCTGCTACCCTCCCCTAGCCCCCACCACCATTCGGTAAGTCCACTGCCAAGCTATCACCAGCACAACCCTGTGTGTAGAGTGCGTGTGGCCAGATGTATCCTGGAGAGCTGTGTCAGCCGCAGGGGCCTCTGCCTGCTACCGTGTGTAATCCAGGCACAGGCTGGCTCTTCGTGATTGTTTTCTGTGATGCTGCTTTGTGGGACTGGGGCTCTCCCTCCTTGTCTCCTCCTTCTTCCTTGTCCCCTCCTCCCTCCTTGTCCCCTCCTCCTTCCTTGTCCCCTCCTCCTTCCCGCTGGCCCCTCCTCCTTCCCGCTGGCCCCTCCTCCTTCCCGCTGGCCCCTCCTCCTTCCCCGCTGTCCCCTCCTCCTTCCCCGCTGTCCCCTCCTCCTTCCTTGTCCCCTCCTCCTTCCCACTGTCCCCGCCTCCTTCCCATTGTCCCCGCCTCCTTCCTGCTGTCCCCTCCCACCACTTCCCCCCAAATCATCACTGTGGGACAGTCCCTTACTTGCAGTTGCATTACTAATCTTGTGCTATTTAAATGTATAGGCAAAGGTGGACAGTCTTGTGTCCTCTTGTGTATTTACGTGTTTCATTGGAAGGCCTTTTATTTAGGAGTAGAGACGCACACGGCAACACATCTTTCCTTTCCAGTATGCCAGTCTGTTACAGTTCATCTGTGAGAATTTATGTATATGCCTGATTACAAATAGTCCCATTTGTTTGTTTTGGCTTTAACTGCCTGTGCTCTTAACATCCCTTCTAAGAAGTCTTTGCTTGCACCTATGTGCTGCAGTGTTCCCTAGGTTTTCCTCTGGTGATTTGTTGGTGTACATTTAGGTCTTTAACCCGGAACCTTATATAAGACTCAAATGAGCTTTACTCCCTTTCCTGCCGAACAGGCTCATGACAGATGTTTCTTTCAGCTTTCATTCCCAGACTGCGTTGTGATCTGGCTGTCCCACTGCTTTCCCAGGTGTTAGCACGGCACTGGACCGGAAGTGGAGCAGCCAGGCACTGGCACCCACGTGGGGTGCTGCCGTCACAGGCAGTGGCTCGACCGTGCACTACGGCGCTGACCCCAGGAGACTCTCTAAGGGCCGGCCCAGCTCTTCCCACCTCACGGGAGACCGTCTGTTCTACTTGCAGCCTTAGTAATCGGCCTCATCCCTTTCAGGAATGGCCTATCCTGAAGGCCTAATTCCCAGATACTTCATTATTCATAGCTGTTGTCTCCACCGTCAGGATATAAGACCGTCTTAGAAATAGGTGGAGAGGGCCAACACACGACACTTGCTGTGTCTCGAGCCTGTAGGTGTGTGTGGGGCCCGTGGAGAACGCAGCCAGCTGGGAGTTAGTGCGTGTGCCTACGGGGCACTGGGTTCACCATCTCTCAGCAGGACCCAGCACGGACCTCCAGGGCTTCCCTCCGGTGCGAGAACAGCAGACACCTGAGAGGCCCAGGCTTGCACAGGCTGGGCTCGCTGACCCTGAGGCCTCAGAGGAGCGTGGAGCCCGTGGGAGTGCTGCAGCACAGCCGAGGAGGAAGGACGGCTGCTAGCAGAAAGCAGTGTGTGAAGGCAGGCTCCCCGGGACTGCCCACCCCCAGGGTGCTGCCTGAGGAGAGCCGGGGCTGACTCCCAGACCTTGGGGGTGAGAAGCCGGAAGGACACACACTGCACAGAGGCCCTGGCTCCGCAGCGCCATCACTGCGCTGGCCTGGAGAGGAGGCTGAGGAGTAAGCCCTTGGCTGTTGGTGTGGAGGGGCACAGACACAGCCAGGAGGGAGGCGAGCTCCCAGCACTTGCAGGGCCCCGCACGGGCGGCACTGCCTGCTGAGCTCTGCCGCAGGTACACACAGGATGGCAACATGCAGATCGGCCAGGCTGGCGCTCTTTGGGGAAGGGTGGGGGCGGAGACGAGATGCACAAAGGACGGACGCCGACCCGTGCTCTTCCCAGGCTTAGCATCCCTGTGCGTGGCTTCTCGTTGCAGGAGCCTTCTTCCTGTATGCTGGCTTCGCTGCGCTGGGCCTGCTCTTCGTCTACGGCTGTCTTCCTGAAACCAAGGGCAAGAAGCTGGAGGAGATAGAGTCCCTCTTTGACAGCAGGCTGTGTACGTGCGGCGCGTCGGACTCGGATGAGGGCAGGTACATCGAGTACATCCGGGTGAAGGGCAGCAACTACCACCTTTCTGACAACGACGCTTCGGACGTGGAGTAACTTGAGCTGCGCCTGCCCTTGGTGATGAAAACGCACTGGGGGAACTTGCAGCCCTGCTTCTAATCGGGTTCTTGCCGGTCTAGTGTTGAGTGGCTCCAGGCTCTAGAAATCGTGGTTTTAGGAGGAAGATACAATCATGACATCTCCCCACAAAAATATGTATAAAAAAGGAAGAACAGTGCAGATTTTAACCTAACAACTGTTACTCAAGTACACACGCTTCCTCCCCTTAGTTTGGCATGAATGCTCTGTGCAGTGGTTGCAGGGTTTACACCATTGCTTCCCACGGCCGGATGTAATTGCTCGTGACAGTGGAATCAATGCTAACTCAGCCCTATCATACACTTGTATTAGTGAGGAATTCTCAGAGATGCTCCAAACACAGCCCACCGGTCCTCGTCCTCCCGAGGAGGGCCTCTCTGTGAGCAGCTGCTGCCTCGTCGGCTTCAGGGTCCAGACACTGCGTTCCCCCTGCAGTTCAGAGTTTTCTGAGGTGGAGCTAAGCAGACTGCATAGTGTTTCCATCGCACATGTTCTCCCATCAGTGATGAGGTGCTGCCAAAGCCTGGTGAGCATGGTTTGTTGTCAGGAAGGAAAGACGGGGATTCCTAACTGGTTGGTCACTTAGGCATGCACCTGTCAGTGTCATTCGTGCTCAGCCTTGACCTGTAGCTCTGGGCTGATTTTTGTTCCTGCCAAAATCCTCCCTTCACCCGCTGTCTGCCGGTTCCGCTCGGTGCCTTCCTTGGCGCTGCAGGAAGCCGGCAGCATTGGCTGTCCCCTAAGAGAAGGAAATCAACCAGGAATCCCATCACTGACATTTCATTGCCAAAGCGGGGCTTGCTTCTTCCTTTTCTTAAATCTCATCTAGGGAATTGTCAGATTTCATTCTAGAACTCAGTTACACTTGCTTACTTTCTAACTTAAAAACAACCTCATTTTCCTTTTCCACAACTTTTTTCATTTTTCTTTGGTGAAGACAAAGATTTGTCTGTCTCTTATACTTGGCTCAGATTTTTTTCCCCTACTTGTTTAAAAATTGAGATTTTTTTATTGCTCTTAAATTAACAATTACAGTATAGGGCATGTCGATAGGAAATGTTGGTTTTCTACATTTCAGCAAGGTTTATGTTGCTATTTCTGCATTCGTCAGCAAACTCACAGGGTTTGGCTTCTCTGTTAAGAATGATGTGGCATGCACAGGCCTGTGCAGGTTGCGAATCTGGCCAGCAGGGAGTGTGGCTCTGTGCATCCACCAAGGTACTCTCTAAAATGGCACAATTACTGGCGGCCTCCAAGCTGCTGTCTGCCTGGAAGGTCTGGCCAGTGCTGCTAACAGCCGCCAGGCTGGGGGTGCAGCAAGTGCTCTGTCCACGTCCCCAGAGGTACTTACACAGTCACGTCGGGGCCCCGGCACCTGTCAGCTCTGTCCGCATCCCCAGAGGTACTCACACAGTCACGTCGGGGCCTCGGCACCTGTCAGCCGAGAGAGAGAGCTTCTTCCTTTGGTAATTTCATACAACAAACAAATCCAGCATTTTAGAGTGTTTTCCCCTTGAAGTAGGTGCTTTGATATTTGTTTCCAAGGGGATATTAATACTGATTTTTCCCCAGAAATTTTAACAGAAAAAAAAATAATCTATTGATATTTCTTATCCCTGAAGAAATTTTTTTATGTGTGTAATATTTTATATAAGGTAAAGTGAAACACAGAGTGAGCTATTTGTGGCACAATCAGAATATTTTGGGGAGAAAAATACTTAGAACAATATGAAGTACTGTCTTTAAAATTTTATTTTTCTGCTTTATCCAAATAATTGCCTCAATTCTTCTCTTTCTTGTCGGATAGCCTTAACTGTATATTTCTATCCTCAGCTGGGCGGATGCACAGAAAATTTAAGGCAGCAACTGGACTCTGATCTAAAGAGGACACAGCCTGTTCTCCCTGACGTAAGAAAGTTAGGCTCTCAGCTTTGTCTTCGTAAAGGCAGGGAACAGAGAATCAGCCACAGTTCTACTGCCCTTTCCTCAAAGGACTATTCGTCATTTATATATAGTGCTAAAGGTAATACTCCATGTCTTTGAAGTACAAGATGGAGAGGCACAGTATAAGAATTATTTATAACTTTTTAAAAACAAATAATTACTTGAAGAACCTTATACGATTATGTTATAAATGTTCGCCAAAGTCTAAAATAGTATATTTTAAAAAATCAAGATTTTCAAGTTTTTTTATATTGCACATCTTTTAAGTTCTCAGCATCTTGGGCTGCCACTGTCAACGGGAAGGCATCAGCAGACAGGACACGTTACTGTGCAGTAACGTGACCTTCCACACTGACGCAGCTGGCAGTCTGGGCTTCCTTCTGAGTGGGCCGCAGTCACCAGGACAATACAGTGAGGACGGCTCATCTGCAGGGGACTTAACAGGAGACGTAATTTGCATGGAAATATTCCTGATGGCCTTTAATTGTTGCACTTTAGTCAGTCATTACCCAAAACATGATTATTTAGGTATTTTACACTATATTAAAAATGATCAGTAAGAGGTCACATTTCCACTTGAAGTGTTGTTCCCTCCCAGAGGCAGTAGTGGTTCCCTGACAGAACACACTGCAGGACGCCATGAACTCTCAGTACTTGACACTGAACCAGGTGTTAGTACGTAAGACTAAATTGAGAAATCACTTCAAACGATTTCAATATCTGTTATACATAGGAAGAATAATCAGGGAAATAATAAGCTTGTGACTTAGTCTCTTGCTTACAGACAGCACAGTAAGACGGACTGTGCTGTGGTCATCCAGTCTCCTCCGGGGTGATGCTTTAGATGACACTAACCACAGGTATAGAAGAACCTCACTATTCCGAGACACTCAGTTCATGAACACTGTGATGCGATGCGAGTTCCAGCATCATTTTTCCCCCCCTTGGACATAAGGATAAAATGAGATGTTTTCTTAGAATCAAAAATATTTTCCCATTCATCAAATTATATTGAATCTTTTATCACGCTGTGATTTCCATTGCCAGGTTCACACATTTTCACTAATTAGAAATGAAGTAACTGACGCAAGAGGCTGACAGTGAATTCATGCCATGTGCACGCCTGGACTATGGGTGAGCTGTACAGCTCCTGCGTGGCTTCTCTGAAGACTCCCACTTACTCTCAGCAGTCATTCCCATGTCCTGTCCCCGTCACTGTCTGTCTCCTCGCCTCGCGCAGGGCACTGTGGGCTTGATGCGGTGTGCAGTGGTCCAGGCTGCGGCGTTGTCTAAGTTGTTGAGTTCTTTAAGGCGAGCAACACTGCTATTTCTAGAAGACAGCAGCAGTCACTTTAAAATGCCAAACAGCAAACTGCTCCCGCCTTCCTGAAGGCCGTCTGTCCACAGACGGGAATCTGTCCCATTCATCAGCAGAGAGGGGTTCTGTGAGAGTGGAACGAAGGTGTTTTCCTCGCTGGCTCGTGAGTGTAACAGAATTCCTGTAAATTTTTACATCGTATGTACCAAATGTGACGCGGTCTGTTCTGTTTGAGTGGTCTGTTAAGTATCTTCATCTAACAGTGAGGGTCAGTTTTGTTTTGGACAGTTAAGCTCATGTGTTTAATCTCCTCGTCTACATGATAAAAGGAAATGGACCATGCAGCTAACCGGTACCTTAAATTAAAATCCTGTACTTCGTATAGTTTTAAAATCAGCCTATTCAGAATCATTCCATCTCATTTAAAAGCTAAAATACACAAATATATCTACAGCCAGGTAGACACCAGTATCCTACTTGTGTCCCCCAGCAGCATTTGGACTCCGACTCAATGTTGTCGCATCTTTCCTTTGTGACAAATATTCAAATTTCTGTTTTGAGGCTCTAATGTACTTCTAGATTAAGTCCAAATGATTTTATGCTTTAAAAATACACGTATTTCAAAGTGCATATTTTCATTTGTGAGTGCATGTTCGGTAGTGTTTAATAGTTCACATGTCCCGGCAAGTTCAGTATAAACACTTGCTTGCACACGAGGTATGTGGGACAGCTCTCACACACACTCTACGGACCACTGCCATCCAGCTCATCCCAATAGATGCTCTATCAAAAGTAGTGTATATTTTATGGAGATCTAGTGATATACATGTAAATGTTTTTTAAGTTATTTTACTGAAATTCAATATTTACATAAAATTTAAATCTTTTTTTAAAGCAAAGTGTCAGTGACCAAACTGTATATGGAAATAATCAAATAAAAGCTAAAACAATTCAGTACTCATCTCCCTGGCACTTTTTATTTTCATGGATTCTCTTCCTTGAATATTGGGACCTACTTACACAGTATGTAAAAACATCACCAAAGATGACCTGCCTTTCTGATTAATGCAGTGCTACTTCTAATGATGCCCGCTGCTTCCAAGGGCAGGTGAACGGTCACCTCTTAAAAGTTCAAAGGAATGATTCTCAGATGTAAAACTTTGACAAGCAGTGCTCAGGAGCCCTTTAAGTAGCACATAATCTGGTTGTCAGCATGAACCAAGGACAGCTGCCTGGAAGGCCAGGCATGGTTTCTTTGGGCATCTAGCCATCTGCCCCTGCCAGGGCTCTGCTTAGCAGACTGGCACCCGATAGGAGCAATCAGGAGACTAGGCTCCATGGTTCAGCATGTGCCCTGCTGGGTCCACAGCACAAATGGCTCCAGGAGATATGGAGCCACTACACCCCTGCTCCCCTCCCCCATCATGCAAAGGTTTACAGGGGGTGGGACACCTGCCCAAAGATGCCGGTGTCAGCAGGCTGGCCAGTAGTCCTCCAGCGAGAAGGACCCGGACACATCCCCTGAGCTGCACACTAACTGTCCACTCACCTGGACTATGCAAGTCTTCAGCAGCAGTCAGAAAAATCCTCATGGCCAACAGGGATTGAATCCAGGGGTCCTCACTTTGGCCTGGGCATGCTTTGGCTGTTGCAGGCATTTGGGGAGTTGAACCTGCAGATGGGAGGTCTGTCTCTCCCTGCATTTCAAATAAAATGAAAATAAACAATTCTGAAAAAGGGGAAATAAAGGGCCCAATACAGTAACCTGGTGGCTAAAGTCCTCACCTTTCATATGCCAGGATATGGGTACCGGTTCTAATCCTGGCGGTCCCACTTCCCATCCAGCTCCCTGCTTGTGGCCTGGGAAAGCAGTCGAGGATGGCCTTGGGACCCCGTACCCCATGGGAGACTCGGAAGAGGCTCCTGGCATTGGATTGGCGCAGCTCCAGCCATTGCAGCTGCTTGGGGAGCGAGCCAGCACATGGTTTTTCTGTCTCATCTCTTCTCTACAAATCTGATTTTCCAATAAACATAAATCCCCCCCCTTTTTAAATCTCTCATTTAACTGTCCAATCTGGTAAACATGGTTGCCTTTCAAAGTGAAGAATTCCCTTCACAACATCCCAGTGAGCAGACCGAGCTCACCTCTCCAGCAGGTCCTGGAAAGACACACCAAAGACAGAACGATGGCGTTCGCACAGCACAAGGAATGTGCTGACAAACCATTCCTCATCTTGACCCAAAGCGCAGGGAGACAGCTGAACACTGCAGTCAGAGGCTCTTAGGGGAAGGCAGTGTGGCCCCTGGAGAGGCCAGACGGGCTTGGACCATCTAGACTTGAATCCCAGCTTTTCCATCCAACGTCTGGTACCCTAAACTGTTCACCGCTCACTGTCCACTCACACCTGAGCTGTTACATCAGTTAGTCATGAAACACAAGGGAGAGTGGCACCTGAGAAGGGCCTGCTGACACTCGGCCATTCTCGGATTCCCCATCCAGGAGCTGTGTAAGCTCAGTGTTCAGATCAGGCGAAGATTTGCTAACATCCCCCTGCTTGGAGCAGATGCACACGGTCCTCCATGGCTGCTCTCTGCTGGACTCAGCTGGCCTGGTGCACTGGCCCCTGACCCCCTTCCTCTCTCCACCTCTTCCAGAAACATCCTACCCAAAAAATGAGCAGTCTTCTGACAGGGCCAGACCAACAGGGCTACATGCTTCATTTCCTTTGGCCCCAGTCAAGAAAGAAACAGTTTCAAGAGAATCTCAGTAAGATACCAAAAAACCTTCCAGTATTTACAAAGTTATTTTGTAAATCTTCTCCAAATTAAAGCAGTGTCACTAAATCTTCACTAATTGGCTACACTGAAATTAAGAACATATTGTTACAGAGACTACACCACTGCAACTACACCACTGGATCATGAAATGCTGAAGAGATAAGATCGCTTCTGCCTGCTTTTACCTTGAACATGTTGCTCATCTTCCCACTGGGTCTTCAGACACTACGTTCGGATGGTCAGCATGCAGACCAAGTTCTGTCTTCTTAGCAGGAAGTTGGGGCCCAGCGTGAGCAGGCAGATCCTGCGGTCACCAGATGCCCCGAGCAGTACGGCTGCAGACTGAAGTGCTCACCCTCATGGCACCTGCATTGAGATGATGACAAACACAAACCAGTGACCGACTTAACCAGTCTCTGGGGACACAACTGCATAATGCTTTACAGAGTCTGTGCAGAATTTAAAAGCTGGGTTTACTTTGGTGGAAGTTGAAATCTAAACATACTTTTTTCCTAATGGGTGTTTTGCATAAACTTGTCGCAGAACCCCCGTTTATATGCATGGATCTCAAAACATCTTTTTTTGCAACACAAACATCTAATTCCTTTCTCTGTAAGCTTATTGAAACACCATCTTTCCAAGAAACCCCTCTCGGGTGATTGATAGCACACAGTAGTTTAGGAAGGTGGGAAGGAATTGGATGTGCTCCTGTAAATGGTGCACCCACCGGGGCGGCAGCAGCAGTGACGGGCTTGGACCGCAGACTGTCTGCGGGGGCGACGGCCCCTTGTTCCCACTCATTCCCACTGCGGCTCGTGTGCGCACGGCCCTGCCCGCTCTCGTCGGTCTCGGCTCAAGCCTGCCTTCACCAACCGCACTCCCCTGCCACACACCTCTGCCAGTCTGTGTTACAGCCTTCCGTGCATCCCTGGTGGAGGAGAGCACTCCCCTCACTTCCCGTGTAAGGGCAAGGGACCTGCCGTAGGCCCGTGTGGCTCCCTGACACCTGCAATGCACAGAGCATAAAGAACCTGCGAAGGCAATGCACCCAGTCTGTCTGGCGTTCCTGTGGCCAGCAAAGGAACAGTGAAAACGTTCCTGGACTGGGAAGGAAGCCCAGCGCCTCCAGAAACAGTAGCACAACAGCAGATCTAGCCTTCAAAAGCCACACTCTGTAAACGACCCTGTGCATGGCTGTTGACATCAGCAGCGAACACGGTACTAAACCAAAAGCATGTATTTACATAAACACATTTAGATAGCATTCGATTTCTTTCTGATTGTTAAATAGGAGCAATTTTGAAAAATTAACAGCACATTTGGGTGGAGATGGCATGTTTCATAATTATTCTCTTCCTACAGTTTTTATAGATTATTCATGATTTTATTATGTCCTCGAAAACCCTTTGTCACACAACAGTCGTTCACGAACTCAAGTCTTGGTCAGTTCAATCCTGGTTGCTCTTGCTTCCACTCCAGCTCTCTGCTAATTAGCCCCCTTTAGCCCTGTGGTAGATCCAGAGGAATCCGGGCTCCTGCTTCAGCCTGAACCAGCCCTGTCATCAGGTCGCTTGGGGAGTGGAAGGAAGGTCTGCATTCGCTCACGCTGTCAAGTAAGTCAACCTTCAAAATTGAATAAGCACCTGTGAACTTAGGGAACACTCCAAAACCCTGCGCTTCTTACATGGATTGCAAGTTCTGGTTTACAAAACCACCCCGGGATGGTAATTCACTAGGAATCACACAGTCATGGCTACACTCTGTACAGATAAAGGAAACCAAATGGTGTGAAGCAAGGGGAGCAAGCACTGGAAAGGAGCCAGGACAGTAACAACCGGCCCTTCCGGTAGCCTTTTTCCCTAGTTGTGGGCAGCAGGACTTGGCTGGTAGGGACTGTGACAACACCCACAGAGGGCCACCAAGCAGGAAAGCCCCTGGAACCTGCGTGTCCACAGCGGACAGCGGCGAGGGTGACTGCCTGCTAGCTGACATCAGTATCAGCCTTTTAGAATCTGACCACCCCTATGGCTCCAGCTGCTGATCCAGCCTCTGTGCGAGGCAGTGGGGACGGTTCTTGGGGTTAGGCTTCCAGCATCCAACCGGGAGATCTGGTCTCGCGGCCCCAGCCCCCGTGAGCATCTGAGGAGAGAACAAGCCAGGCAAGTCTGTCTCCTTCTGTCAACAAAGAACATTCTTAAAATGAAGGAAAAACTACTTTAAATGTTATCTGGGTTATTTTATGCCATGCAAATCTTGAAAAAGGAACATTTTTTGCTGAAAATGTAACTCATTAAATTCTAAAATAAACACAACACAATGAAAACAAATATAATTTAATCCAAAAATAACAGATTAACTACAAGAATGATAAAATTATATTTTTAAAAGCTTGATGTTATACTAGATACTACAGACATGACAATTCTGAATACTGAATGAGCAAATTGAGCCTGGCAGAAAGCATACAGTCCCTGAGAGCTCCCCTTTCTGCTCCATTTCCACCTTCCTCTTGTCTGTGAAAGCCTGCCTGCTGGCCGCCACCCCCGAGTGGGGAGACACCCTGCCTCGGCGGGGAGCCCGGTGCAGGAGCTGTTCCTTAGGATGTGCTGCCCTCCAGTGGCTCCTCCTGCCGGTTTTCACTGCGCCCTTCGTCACTAGGAAGAGACAACACATCATGTCCACAGGGACACTTTGGGAGGATTTCACACTGCACGGCAGCATCTGCCTTTGCTTCCACCACAGGTGCACTCTCTGTCTGCACTCCTGCATCGCACCCTGCACTCTGCAGCGCGCAGCTACTGTGGGACTTGCTTTGCAATAAAGGTGTTGAATGGCACTGAGACCGAGGAGGCTCCGTATTTTTCACTGGGAACTGTTGAATGTGGGCGTTGTTTTCGGCAGCCTTGTCTCCTGGGAGCTGCACCCCTCCTTCCACACCACACCTGCTGAGGGCTTCCTTGGCTTTGGTGGGTATTGTGCTTGAGTCTTCAGTGTGCTGTAACACCTGGTCCTCCTCTTCAGACAGCTAGGAGAGAGTGATTTTACCGTAAACAACAGGAAAACTGGAAAGTTCAACTGGTCATTTCAAAGTACACATACATAAAATTCACATAAAACTTCTGTAAACACAGAAATTATTTCTGTATTGATACAGTTTGTAAATGAAAACAGTATGTCAAGAAGAATCCTCAAATAATAACTTACCACACCTCACTGGTTGGTACGGATTTTAAAATAAGAATGGTAATCCTTGGGCATTTTGTCTATTAACGGTCCTTCCAACCTAGACTACACCATCCCTACATCCCTAACACAAGGGAAATGATCACAACACACTCAGACTGGTAAGACTGGAGCGGGGACAGGCACAGCTGGCATTGCGGTGCAGTCTGTTAAACTGCCACTTACCAAGCTGGCATCCTACAGCGCACCAATTTCAGTCCCAGTTGCTCTACTTCTGATCAGCCCCTAGCTAATCTCACTGGGAAAGCAATGGAAGACAGCCCAGGTGTGTAGGCCCCAGGACCCGTGTAGGAGATCTCGATGAAGCTCCTGGTTCCTGGCATTAGCCTAGTGCAGCTCTGGCCATTGCAGCTGTTCAGGGAGTGAACCAACAGACAGAAATTTGTCTGTCTCTCTCCCTACTCCTTCCTCCAAGATGGTCTTTCAAATAAATTATTACATGTTGATAAAAATTTTAAACGATAGAGAAGTAATAGGTAGTACACATGTTTTCTTATTCTCTCAAAAGCTCATAGAGTACAAAGAAGCTGCAGTGTGCCTCTTAAGGGATCTATTCTGTAACAGACACAGCTTGTCTCAGAAATAACACAACGTAGGGGGAGGGCAAGCTAACGGAATATACAACAGGCAAAAGTTAAGTAACAATAAGTATCTCAACTGTTCTCTAAAAAGCCAGATTTTTAATTTGCAAAAATTAAACCTTGAACTTCATAATAAAATTCTTCTAATTGCAGAACAAAAATACTCTTAAAAATACTATAGAAGAAATAATTATGATTCTAGCTAAAAATAAAGCAAAGTTTTTTTTTTAAAAAAGCATACAGACATAGCTTACTGGCACTGAAATAGTAGAAGCAAAGAAAACGGCAATGGAAACTGAGTTAGCACCAAGTGCGGGAGGCAGGCTCAACGCACTCACTTATAAGAGAAACTCACATGGCTTATGCAACGTGAAGCGAGACAGTGACCAACCTCTCGGTGCATACATGCCACCAAATGCCACGGACATGACAGACTCAACGTGAGCCAAGTGCAAAGCACAAGAAGTCTGAGGCATTGTCAATAAGGCACCATATTGAGATGGACTTTTTGAATAAGTTACGTATTTAAGTAGAAATCTAAAGCCTGACTAAATGTCAGGAAGAGATAATGCCTGGAATTCCTGCAGCACAGAGGAGACTGGCAGGCTGAGGGACGGGAGATCCGCAGGTCAGGAGCAGGAGTGAGGGAAACGAGGAAAACCCACTGGGGGTGCTGAGGACTCAGCTAGCATGCCCCCAGGACACCTGCACATCATAGCACAGAGCCTGACACAGCCCACGCAGCAGCCTGGTGACGTGGTGGTGCTGGCCCACTGGCTTGCTTCCCTGCCACGCGTGCAGGAGACCCGGAGGGAGCGTTCCTGATTCCTGGGTTCAGCCTGAACAAGAGTCACCTGAGAAGTGAACAGGAGCATGCAATCCAGGAATCCAGGTAACATGCTTTAAAATACTTACGCATCAAGAAAAATATTCTGATTACATTCTTCATGACTTTTCTGGAGCACCTGTCTATGCCGTGTATCCACATCATGTGTATATATACTTATCTCTTATTCTGTACACTGTAAAGCTTTTTTACAATTTTGCTTACATTAATTTATTGACTAGCATTATATGATCGGCTATTTTTTAAAATGACAACTTAGGAAAATAATTCTAAACCGGTAAGCATGTATTAGTAAGTAAGTTATGTAACTCACCATCTCTGGACTAGAAGTGAAACAACTGTCCGTGGGCCCTGGAGAGTAACTGGCAGACTGACTTGAAGAATCGAGATCTGAAACAAGGATCTTAGCTCAGCAACAGCGACATTACACTCTACAAAACACAAGGCGAAATATGGCCACCGCTCGTGCAAATCCAGCCTTGCACAGCACGTGCAGCTGAGTGGGTCAGCTGAAAGCATACAGGTAAGGACAAAGTGAAGGGCAGAATTAGAGGAAGGCACGTCAGTGAGGAGATGAATTATATAACCTAGGCATGAAGTATTAACGATGCTTAATAAAGCAATCCAACTGGGATGGGGACAGGGCAAGAGGCGCAGAGGGCAAGCAGCAGCATCTCACACGGTCGTGCCAGCGCTCGTCAAAGGCAAAAGGTGAAACCACCTACATGTCCGGCAGCAGTCGCATGGAGACACAATGGTATATTGTCGGCCCAGAAATAAAAGCAAAATCCGGTTGTGAAGACTAAAGAGTGATGGATTTTGAGGATATTATGTCACATGAAACAAATCTAGCACAAAAGATTGATTTTTCTAAAAGCCCATGAAATAACCATGCATAGATTTCAAATTATACTTATTGCGCTAAAACAAACACTGCCATTTGCCCGTGAGTTCTTCAAAGCATGCTTACACTACTCGAGTACATTCCAAGAGGGCCCTCTTGGTGAGACGCCAGTGACTGCCAGCAGCTGACTGCTGGCTGTAGAGGTGGGATGCATGCAGGGAGGGCCGGCGGATTGTGCCACAATACACGTGTGCTAACAATATTATATTCTAGTGTGGATACTGGGAGGAGGATGAAATTTACATCACACTCTGCCAGAATAAGGTAAAAATGCGTTGATGAAAATTCATTTTCATCCTTATAAAAGCTAAGAAAATATTAGTCCCCAAACTACTGATTATCCAGGATCACCTCCCCACAAAATCACTCAAATAATCCAGACACGTGCATCTAAATCTAAAATCCAAAATTAATGCATAAAAATGAGAAGCATAGTCCTAATAAAGTGTCAACATGAATACACAGAGTTTGTTCAAACGTGCAAAGTCCAAAGCCCAGCAGTGGAGCAGCCTGTGTGAGAAGGCAGGGCAAACAGACACCTCTAGAGGGCAGACTAGGCGAGAGCAGAGGAGCACCTGCAGCCCCAGCGGCTCCACGAGGACCTGCGTAATGACACGATGCTGCCTGCACACAGCCCCGGCTCGTGCTCCTCACGGACACACACATACGGACACTCCCTCACACACACACACACACACACGGACACACACACACTCTCAGAAAGACTAAAGCAAGTTTAGACAGTCATTGGTAACACACTCTAACATATCTATGAAACATATTTATGGACAAAATTTTTTTAAAGGTTAACACGCAACTGATTCCCATTAGTTTCTTATAGAAGGAATAAGATGAATTTATAAAACTGACAGAGCATCTCCGTAGATGGTGGCCTACCTTGTAAAGCACATACTGCTCTTTCTTCTACCAGAATCTGGAAAAAAAAAAAATCAAAATTTGAACAATTATCAAGACTACATAATATCTACGTACATACATTTTATTAATCCAATTAGCTAATTTTACATTTCTTTTGCTTTCTATGATTTAACTCAAAGGAAATTTTTAAATCACGAGAAAAATTAATCAGTTAACAACAAAGTAAACTGGTTTAGAAAGAGCACGCAGCAGAACATTAAGTCTAAGAATCACGGACAAAGGTTCATACAATCACAGCACAAAACAAAGACAGTAACACAATTTGGGGATACATACTGTTATTTGTGATAATTTCTTATATTCAGATTTTGTAAATATTAAAATCGAGCTGAAGGCATCACAGTACGTGATTTTGAAGCATACCACAAAACTATATTAATGAAAATAGCAGGGTACTGACATACAAATGAACACATGCATCAGTAGAATACAACAAATATTTCAGAAATTAAGTATGGTGTCCAGGCCATACATGGGAGAACAAAATAGTCTCTTCAATAAATGAAGCCGATAAAATGCAATGTATGTATGTCAAAGAACAAAGCTCAATCACTATTTCTTGACAAGATAAAGCAATTCAATATGGATTCAAGACCTAAACTGAAGAGTAGAAAGCCAAAAAAAAAAAAGTAGGGGAATCACTTCAAGTGTAGGTCAAGTGTAGGAGACAACTTCCTGAACAAAGCACAAAGCCCAAAGCCCAAACCACAGGCAGCAAAAGGCAATGCATGGGCTAACCAAACCCAGAAGCTTCTGCAAGCAGAGGAGCCAGCAGAGCAAAGGGACAACCACAGAACAGCAGCAAATCTGTGCAGGCTACTCCTCCAATAACAAATCAATACCCATAAGATATCAGCAACTCAAAAACAAAAACAAAAAGCTGCAACTAATGCTAAGAATTAAGCCAAGAAATTGGCAAAGAGCTGAACAGACAATTCTCAGAAAACACAAAAGGCCAACAAATGCATGAAAAAAAAAAAAACACTTAGGATCGTTAGTCATCTGGGAAATGCAAACGCAGAGCCCAGGGAGGAGTTGCTCAGCCCTGGGTACATCCATCGTCAGAGCTAGGACTGGCAGGGAGGACCTGACACTACGCCCATCGCCCATCGTCAGAGCTCAGGACTGGCAGGGAGGACCTGACGCTACACCCATCGCCCATCGTCAGAGCTCAGGACTGGCAGGGAGGACCTGGACAAAGGAGCATTCACTGTGGAAGTTCCCGCTGCACCACAGTGCTGGCCCCACCTGAAGTTTCCAACACTACATTCTCTCATATCTCTGTCACTGCTTACCTGGTTCCCTTGTCCTACCTCACTGATAACAGGCTCAACATTTACCTTCTGGGGCAGGCGCGTGGCATGGAGCTGCAGTTGCTGCTCAGGACGCGCAAACCCCACACTCTAGTGCCCATGCTGAAGCCGCCCCTCCACTTCCAATCCCGCGTCCTGATAATGCACCCCTGGAGGCAGCAGCTGATGGACTGCTCCTGTCCCCCACATAATCCACCCTGTGCTCCTGTCTGCACCCCAACCCACCCGATGGCTGCGGGGATCGGTGCGATCACTGCTTCTCTTTGCCTGTTGCTTAATGAGACCCAAAAAGATCAAAGACAAATATCAAGTTCTCTGATTTATGGCAGCAAATTATTAGATTATTCTCTATACATTACAGAGTACAAGCAAAAGCCCCAATGTATACATATACAGGTAAGACTGACATCCTTCTATGGATGTGGGCATCATTTGCTAGCCAAATGCCTGAATCAAGAATACAGATGTTTCAACAAATCTGCCCAGTATTTATACACTGAAGCCTGAAATATTTTTGTGTTGGAGGAAATCATAGTGTACTTATAGAAAGCACTGAGAATATACTGATATTGGTTTGTCTCCAAAAAGCATGTAACAGTTTCTGAAAAGATGTGTTATTTCTAGATCTAAGAATTATCAACAAGAAGAGTTCACGGATGTAAGTATTAAAATGATATAAACCAATCAGCTGGAAGGATCACTTCGTCTCTCCTCCTTTATGTAGATCTGACTTTCCAATAAAAATAAATAAATCATAAAAAAAGAACATGCTTTACCTGATCATGCTGGAAGTCCCCAGGCTGCTCCAAAGGCCATTCTTGCAAAAGGGTCTTACACCTAAGGATTTAAGAAAAATTTGCTTCTTGCTTATTTGTTTTTGAAGACTTATTTTTACTTGAGCCTTCCCAAATAATAGCAAAGGCCAGAGCTGAACCAGCCCAAAGATGGGAGCCAGGAGCTTCTTCCAGGGCCCAAAGTCATGGGCCATGTTCTGCTATAACCCCAGGCCATTAGCTGGACTTGAACTAGTGCCCATATACTACCAGCATGGCAGGAAGAAGACTATTGTGCTAGGCCACTTTGTTGCATCCAGGCTTTTGTTTGTTGTGTGTGTGTGTGTGTTTAAAGATTTATTCATTCATTTATTTCTACAGCAAAGTCAAATATACAGAGAGGAGGAAGGACAGATAGGAAGATATTTCTCGTCCCTTGATTCACTCCCCAAGTGACAGTGATGGCCGGTGCTATGCTGATCCGAAACCAGGAGCCAGGAGTTTCTTTCAGGTCTCCCATGCAGGTGCAGGGTCCCAAGGCTTTGGGCCGTCATCAACTGCTTTCCCAGGCCACAAGCAGGGAGCTGGATGAGAAGCGGGGCTGCCAGGACTAGAACCGGCACCCATATAGAAACCTGGCATGTTCAAGGCTAGGACTTTTGCCACTAGGCCACCATGCCAGGTCCTGTTTTTTTTTTTTTTTTAATTATTTTCTTTGAAAGGAGTTACACAGAAAAAGGAAGAAAGAAAAAAGAAAAAGTTATCTTGGAGCTGGTGTATTATTCCCCAAATACCCACAACAGCTAGGGCTGGGCCAGGACGAAACCAGGAGCCGGCGGCCATATCCAGGTTTCTCACATGGGTGATGGTGGCTGAAACACTTGGGCCATCTTCTGCTAATTTCCCAGGTGCCTCAGCAGGAAGCTGGTTTGCAAGCAGAACAGCTGGAACTCAAACCTGTGCGCACATGCGATGCTGACACTGCAGGAAGTGGTTTAATGCCCTGTGCAGCAACATCAGGCACTAGATAACAGTTTAAAATATCACTGAATAGAATATCTTCCTCTCTGTCTCTGCTCTGTATCTCTAATAAAAACAAATCCTTTTTTTAAAAAAAGAAAATTTTAAGATAAATTCACCACTCCCTTAAGTATTCTGGATCTGTGGCCAGGATTGGAAACCATGATATAAATCGTTATCAAGATATACACTTTGAAACTCAAGGCCTAACATGCTGTGCTCCCTCAAGCTTCTAGATAGCTGAAGATTTAACAATAAAAAATCAATCTGTTTATTTTCTGTTCTCTTTTAACTCATTTGTATGTGCCTGGCCATACAAGACCACCAATGTCCTCAGTTACGCCTCCGACACTGATATCCACCCTCTCTGCACCGATCCTGCGCTAACCAAGCAACCCCGGCCAACTGCTCTCAGTAGACACAGAAGACAGCAAGGGTGGAATCAAGCGTGTGCATGTCACGCCAGCAATCATTCCTACAGCAGCTAGTAATCATACACCAACAAGCCGCTATCGCAGTGGGTATATGAGCTTCTGAGCCCTCAGATCAAGTTCATGTTCAGAGATGAAGGCATTTGGGGCCGGCCAACTGAGCACTGAAGTACTGACCTGCAGAAGGCAGCATGCCCAGTTCACGTGCTGTAACACAGCCTTCAGCAATGGGGAAGCTATTACAGAAAGGTCACAGAAAACAGAATGAAAAGCCAACCTTTTTTCACTACAAAACGTTTCTGAAATCCAGTATTTTAGGAATCTTCAGGGTTTACAGGAAATATTTACTATGAATAAACTATAAATGGATTTCAAAAATTTTTGCAGCAAAATAAAGATCTGATTTTTTAAAAATAATCTCTTATTAGGCTGGATCGTGGTGTGTACCTCCCAAACACATCCAAAAACTTACACAGAATTCTCTGCACTTCTCTGCATATTCTTCTGTGGCATCTTCTCTTGGCAATCATTTCGAATCTTTCCTTTAAAAGTAAAAGCACATCTTGTGTTAAAAAAAAAAAGTCTGTTTTTATCTAACTCAAGAACATGAAACACACAAAAAAATCACTAGGTATAATGCCAAGTAATACGAAATTATTCTATTTTCAGCTGCACATTTCTCTTAACACATGAGTACATATAAAAATACACATAAAAAACTGAACAAGTTTAAAAAGCATAAATTTTGCACTCCCCATGTGTGACACGAACCCTGTCTTTGAGAGCTGGCTGAGGAGCAATCCTTCCCCAGAGACACACGAAAAGCCTTCTGTCCACCGCTGTCATTATGCTTCCAGCAGCATTCACCTGCCGGACATTTTGCTGGGAATCTTGTTTCATTAAAAACAGAATTATTCAAAGCCAAATCTGGGACTGGAAAAATGCTTCCAGTGTATCTACCAGTGGAGCGATTCTGATCAGAACTGGCAACACCACAAAAATCTCCCATACTATTGTAGCCACACTTGTCAACGGTTTCACTCATGCTTTGTGGGTCCATGCTTAATAAACTCATCATATTACGTTTAACCAAAGAGTGGTAATTTTCTGATAGCAGAATGGGGGCTGACTTGTTCTTCTCTTTAAGAAAAGGTGAAAGCTCTTTTCCATTCTGCCCCCAAACACATTGCACTGACTGCTCCTCAACAGTTAATTGTGATGGTCTTCCTTCATTCATGCTACCACGTTCTTCACCCGTAATTACAGCTGGTCTTCTAGTGAGAAGATTTCCATTTCCTGGACTGAGACAAATAAAAACACTTAGCAGAAAAAGCACAGACTATCCTCATTAATACATACTGAAAGTTAAATTCTTAAATGTTTAATAGCTCCTAACATATCTAAACTACATTTTAATTATTTGGTTTTAATGCAATTGCTTTATCGAAGAAATTATCTAATGTGCCCTTATTATGACTTATTGAGTTAAATAACCAATACTTTTTGTTTAAACTTGAAAGATGAATGTGTGGTTCAACTGCTCTTTTAATAAAACAAACTATTACCAACCTACAGAATATCTTCCATAATAAAATCTAGCAAAAATAACCTAGACAGCCACCGTATGTCACAGCTGCTTCATTTAGTCAGAAGGATACGTTGAAAACCATGCATGGAAAATTTTCCTCCGATGTTAAAACATCAGAACAAATGGTTGTGATGACACTCTAATACTTCTCAACCTATCAAGTATATAAAAGCAACTATGAGGCTTCCAAGGAGGAATACTAGATCAATATAAATGTTTGGTTAAGTAAAAAAAAAAAATGCTTACAAAATAACACTCAAGAGAATCGATGCAAAAATTACTAACAAAAGTTTAGAAAATCAATCCCAAGAATATATAGCAAGATTAAGACATCATGGCCAAGTAGGGTTTATTTCAGGATTTCGAAAATTGGTTTAACATTAAGCTAAAAAAATTTCTGCATACCTAAACAACCAATCAACAATGCAGAGACAAAACAGAACAAGAACATGTTTTCAACAGGATATATTTTCATTATTTTCAAAAGAATAACAAAAATATAGAACTCAATAATTAAAGTAATAACAATCCAATTAATAAAAGGACAATAGATCTAAACAGATATTTTTCAAAGGATGATAACAAAAATGGGCAACAGGTGCAAGAAAAAATGCTCAATATCATTAATCATCAGGGAAGTGCAAGCAAAAAAAAAAAGCTGTCACCTCACTCCACGTAGAACGGCTATTCAAGACAAAAGATGACACAGTGAGGGTGTGGAGACAAGAGCATCCCTGCCCATCACAGGTAGGACTGTAAGTTAGGGCAACTAACACGTAAAACAGTAGGCAGCTTCTTCAAACCCTAAACCACAACTAGCATATGATCCACTGCCGGGTACATAACCAGGGACAGAAATGAGGCTGCCCAAGAGACATCAGCTCTCCCACACATACAGCCCTACCATTCAGAGCAGTCAAGAAATACTAACAACTGGAGAGCCCTCCCACAGGAAATGTATCAACTAGCGAAGAACACATGACACATATATACAATGGAATACTACAGCAGGCACAGACAAGGATTCCTGACACCTGGAACAACATGGATGCCGTTACTCGCTGGTAGACTCTAAACAACGGTAATAAGGAAGTCAGGAGTACAGTGGTGCCTACTAGGAAGGGACATGTACCAACTAACAACAAATAACAAGAAAAGGAAGCTCAGCTGGCTATCACTCATAGGGTGAAATGACAACATATCACGATCGTACTTTCTAAAAAGATTCAAGCAAGAGTTTCTGAATGCTTCCACCATAAAGAAAATACTCGTGGAAACAGACATGACTACTCTGACTTCATCGAACACATGCATGGAAACACCTCCTGAAACCCTGTAAATAATTACAGCCATTATGTTCAACTTATTTAACTAGCTAGCTTAGTTGGGAAGAACCTCTGAAATGGTACAGAAAGAATTCTGGTGAAACATTCCTCAAAGGTAAACAAAGTACCATATAAAACATGTAAAATCAATCATCTCAGAATCTGGGAAGTGACCAAAGGCATATGGTACACTGAGAAGCAGCACTTCAAGAAAAATGACTGAATCTGGGGGGGGGGGCTGCTGAGTTTGACCATGGAACACAAGGACCTTCCCTTTTCCCCTGGGCCCTCCCAGATTCAGTGGCTCTGCCACGCCCGAGGAGTCTGCGGCAGAAGACGCCTGAGAGGTTGTCAAAAACAATTAGGATTTTGGTGGCAAACCTGAAAGGAAACTTAACATGATGGCTCCCCGAGGCTGTACTACCAGCTGAAGTGAGCGAACACACTGAAATTCCACAGAAAGATATGGAAAACAAATTGCCACAATGGGCTTGAAAAATTCTCAGCCGTCCCTGGTGATCCTGAAGGCTGCACATCACGTGCAAGGCTGCACCAGTCAAACAGAGCCAGAGAAACTTCAGTACACAGCCGAGCCTGGCGGCTTCTGCAATCTCACACAGAGAAGGCTTGATAGCTCCAGGTATCTAACACAAACTCGGACCAAAACACTGTTGATCTTTTAGGAAAATCTATCAAAAGGATAAGCTTATACCTTAAGAAGCCAGAAAAGGATAAACTAAACGAAGACCAGAAAATTGCAATATGGAGAACAGCGCAGCAACTGATGAAACCAAAACTCCAACCAATGAAAGTGACATACCTTCAGCCACACCAACCTATCAGAGAACATGCCACGGACACAACGCTATGTCAAGAACATACTACACAAAACTTCATACTATGAATCAAGCAACTCTGAAAATGGACAAATTCCTAAAGATATACACATATCTCAAGTGACTGGAAAAAAATGTAAAAACTGAATACAAACAGAACAAGACAATGAATTAGTAATATTTTCCCACTGAGAAAAGCTCAGACACGGACAGCTTTCTTAGTGATTTCCGTAAAACAGTTAAAATACTAACTCTCGCCAAGTCTTCCACCAAACATCTTCCATCTTCTTCCACAAGGCCAGTGGTGCCTGGTACCAAAGCCAAAACAACACAAGCACAGACATTTTTTAAAAATGGCTAACAAATTCCAGAAGCATGTGAAGAATGTGACTGAGGAGCTTTTATCACAGGAGTGCAAGGTGGATCCACTCCTGAAAATAAATTACTATGTATCAATAAAGGATAAAAATGCCATGATGCTTATCTCGGGGGATATTGAAACCTAGCTTGGCAAAGCCCATGATAAAATAACTGAGTTAACTACAATTAAAGGAGGACATTTACCCAACCTGTCCAGGGCACCTACAAATAAAATATTTTTAAAAGAATTAAACTATTTTAATGAACCGATAACTTTTACTTTCAGTGATTCTTTCCCCTAGAGATATTTTTAGTATGTTTATATGCTTAATTAAAAAAATGTGTTACCATAAAACAAACTAATAACAGACTAGGATGCTGTAGCTTCTTTATTTCCATCAGCATCTTTGCTTACCTGTTTACTCTTTCAAACAGTTTCCCAAATTTCACTGCTTTGTAAGATGGTGTAAGGACACCTTGACTTCCAGTTAGTTTGAAAAGCTAGGAATCAGAACAGTCAATATTACTGAGCTGAAAAAGACATGAAAGAAACTGCCTCAATGGTCAGTTTAACTACATGAAATTTGAAGTTTTGACCGCAAAATACAATTTTTATGAATCATATCTATAAGCATTTTTAGTGGAAATTATTTGTCTCATTACCGAAAACAAATATTTTCTAACAGTGAAATCAATGCTGGTTTTAAGCAGCACAGTTGGATCAATGGTGAACTAACCATTCCAGAGAGTTAAAAGTATCCAGGACACCAGGATGGTAAGTAACAAAAATGCAAGTCTTTCTCAAAGAAACATATGCAGTTATTTCAATTCCTCATCTACTGAATAATCTGGGACTAGTACTTTAATTTTTTATGAATGCTAGTATGATCTAGTACCAAGCAAGGATAGAGTGTAACAACTTTAAGAAAGCCTTATGAAAATCCACTTATAATGTGAAGAGTCTTATCTAAATTTAACTTACTAAGACTGGCCCATCATTAATCCACCAAGTAATAATAATCAGCATCTACAATGTATGCTTTGTAATTTCTCAAACATAAGTGCCAGAACAACAAAGACAATGATAGAAATTGGGGGGCGGGGGGGGGGGGGAAGCAGCAGCCAAAAGAAAATAAAAATCTTTGAGAAGTGAGAGAGTATAACAGCCATTCCATCTGAAGAAAGAATGCACCTGTTAGGGAGTGTTTCCCACTTCCCCTGTCACAGTAATTCAGGATTTTTTCACGTACTTTTTGCCAAACAGGTCATTTTTTTTTTGAGGAGTACCTGTTCAGTTCTTCTGTCCACTTTTAAATAAAATTTCATATTTCCTCCTGAGTCATTCGGTTCCTTATAGCATCGTACTCAAAGGGACCATCACTAAATAGAACCATTCTATAGGTTCTCTTTATCCTGCTGTTCATTTTGGTGTCAATTTCAGAAGTTTCTTGGGTAATATGGTTCCAATTACCTACTTCTGATTTCGTTGCCAATGCTTATCAAAAAAAAAAAAATGCCTACATATCTTGAAGCATTTTCCTTATGTTTTATTTGGGAATTTTATAATTTCAGGGTTTTTTTTTAAATTCATCTCGAGTTAAAATTCTCTTGGAATAACTCAACAAGGCCTGCTATTAGACCTTCGTTCAGTATTTTATAAATACAGCAGGCCCTGGGTTTTTGTTCAGTTTTATGACTGATCCAGTCTTACAAATCACCACGTGACTCTTCTGCACTTCATGGGTCAATCTTGACAGGTTACACGTGTTCCCAAATTGTCTGTTACACAACAGCCCCGAATGACCCTGTATATTTCTATACTACTAGTTACAATAAATCACTTCACATCCGATTTCACTCTGTTGTCTTTTTAATTTTTAAATTATTTTATTTCTATAAGGTAAACTGATTTCATGTTTCCTGTACAGACTGAGGAGCACAGTGACACTTCCCTCCCATGCTACCATCCTCTCTTCCTTCTTATTTTTTAATTTTTTTAACAATGAAATACTTTATTTTATAATCACAGGCTTAATGCTTCAATACAAAAACAATATGTAGAAAAAAACACTGTTCCTCAAGTATATAGGCAAGAGCTGCAAACATCCTGAGAGCGCGGGCCAGCGCAGCGGCACAGACAGCTAATTCTCTGCCTGAGATGCCTACACTGCAAACAGGCACCAGTTTATGGGACATCACCAATTAGAGTGCTTATCAACAGCAATAGAAGAAACAGCTATTCTTAATTGTAGTATAAACAATTTTAAAATAATGATAATCTTCAAAATTCTAAAAGGATAACCTGCATTTTGGAAGCCTCTGCAACACAGAGAACTAATTTCTGACGGAAGACCAATTGTTTTTCTTAATTTATCTCCTTACATGGTTATTATGTATAGCACTTCACAACTTAAATTTTTCACATATATTAAAAGAGTAAAAAGGGTCTTTCCTGAAAGCGTGATCAAAAACCTCTAAGAGTTAGTGATTCAAAGATACCTGCTCCGTCTGCTTTTCTTCATAACCAGCTTTCCAAGGACTCGGTGCTGTTCCAAGAGTGAAGTTTTGCTTTGGAATATGCATACCAGAAGGTAATTCTGCTGAGGACTGCGGCAGGAAGCTGCGGTTTGCTACTCTGTTGAACTGTGGTTCAAACACCCTTTTGCCATATGACCCTATGATTTGTGACAACTGCAGGGAAGAAGATGAAATCATTTCAAGGGCTAACATATAAACTAGAGAAGAGCATATCTAAACTCGACACGTAAGTTGAGTAAAAACAGTAAAAGCTCACACAAGAAAGTCTTTTAAGTAGAGGCAAGCAACTGACAGTGTTCATTTAGACAAGAGATTATCAACCAGGATTAAGAGTTCTTCTCCCACTAGCGCTACCCCTCGACCTCTCCGCCCCACAAGCTCCGTCTCTGTGACCACGGAGGAATTCAGGAAAGTGGAGTTTTGTTAACTCACAACTCTGGCAGTGTAATTACCAAGGAATTATTGCCATCACTGCCTTCTATCTCAAATCTAATTTAACTTTGACAACGTGAAAGAAAGCAAATGAGAAACAGTCAATGAGACAGCACTGGGCATCAAACAGAATTGCAGGTTAGAGGCACTTTGTGTCTCAGCTAAGACGTACAGCAGACACTGGCGTCCTATGTCAGCGTGCGGGGGTCAAGTTCCTCCTAACGCTCCCCTGGGAGTCAGCATGTGACACTTCAAGATTCAGTCCCCGTCGCACATCTAGAAGACCCCATCATGTTCTGGGTCCCTGGCTCCAGTCTGGCCCAGTCCCAGCTGCTGTGACCGTGTAAGAATGAATGCCGGAGCTAGAGCCTGACCCCTCTTCCCCCTCCTTCTCTCTATTGCTCCCATAATCCCCTTTTTTCCTTAAACAAAACAAAACAAGTAAGTAAACAGTTAAAAGAAAAACAAAGCACAAGTATCAATCAAGCATATTTAACATCAATACCAAACTTCGTAATATTTTTTAACCTCACCTGAACTGGATCAGCTTCTTCCTTCTTCCCTGGTCCCTGACAGTGCACACTAACAACAAGACAACGCTAAGGTCAAAATTATAAACAGCGACATAAATGCTTATCTTCATATAAATCTAAAATTCAAAGTGTTCTACATTAAAAAGCAAATGAAAACTACACTGAATTATTCCATTGTTCTAGCAGTACTAAATTTTATGAAAATTAGTATTAATTTTGGAGTTAGATATTTTCATAAGTTTTACAAAACACTTAGGTTATTTGACAAAGGTCTAAACGGTTTGATGCAATTCTGCTAGCTAAGCAAAAACTGGAGCTAGATAGTTCAACCCTTTTGTCCTCATTTTTCAATGAATGCAAGTGGCTGTAACATCAGATCCAAACATGAGTGCCATCAACCCAGCTAAAACCTACTTGTCCTCTGTGTCATCGAGGCAGAGTGCAGAAGGCACGCAGGGAGGTGACACAGGAAGTTCTAAATCAAGTCTTACTAGGGGCATTTTTATGTCCCTATTCATATTCACATGGGTTGGTTTCTTCACAGTTTCTATAATGAAAAAAGAAACACCATTATTACTATTTTAAAAATGAAATTTTGGGACACAATATTTGATAGAGGTTCATTAACTAAATTTACATCTAAGAAATTTTGCTTAAACACATCCTATGATACTATAAAATGTCATAACACAAACTATGACAGATAACTTGAAGAAGTTTTCTTCATCCGCTTATCCTAACAAAAGTCAACTCAGCTCTACTCCGCTCCCCGTCTAACACTTGCCCAGCCCCAGGTCATATCTGCTCGTCTCCAAAGCACCCGCCGCTCTGATTCAGCACTCCGAGTGCCTCGCTGTGCTTGACCAACAACAGGTCTTCCCCTGACTTGAACCCTGCGGGGCAGCAGCCTTGTCTCCAGAATACGTCACTGCCCGGCTGCTGAGAGCATCATCAGCGTTTCTGAGAAATGCTTATGACATCAAAAAGATGAACAGCATATGTTTTCTCTGACATGTGACAGCTAATAAAGAACACAGAAAAAAGTGTAGGAATGAAATGGTTACTTTGAGATATGGTTTCCATCTTTAGCAGGTATGTACACTCCTGTGGCTTTCCTATCTTGAACTTACTGAATATTATTCGCAGTAATTTAAGCCTGTGAATATAAGTGCATAAAAATTATGTCTTTGCAAGAACAGATAAAGACGAGGAAGCGGCATTGGCGGGGAGCCAGGCAGTGAGGAAGTGTAGTTGCCCAATGGAGGTGTCCCCATGGAACGTAGAGTCAGTTGTCCAATGGAAATGTGTCCATGCAATGTATAGAGTCTCTTCTCCTTATCTTAATAAAAAAATTTAAACTTTTCATTATTTGACTTAAACAGTAGCAGGACAATTTTGATGTAGATAATTCTGTCCTCAACTGTTGTTTGCTAGAAACAGAATAGTCTATCTTTTGAAAATAGATGCAAAAAAAAAAAAAAAGAAGAAGGAGGAAAGAAAAACACATGACCGGGCCCAGTGCAATAGCATAGTGGTTGGAGGCCTCGCTTTGAACGCACTGGGATCCCATATGGGTGCTGGTTCTAATCCCGGCAGCCCCACTTACCCATCCAGCTCCCTGCCTGTGGCCTGGGAAAGCAGTCAAGGATGGCCCAAAGCCTTGGGACCCTGCATCTGTGCAGGAGACCCGGAAGGGCTCCTGGCTCCTGGCTTTGGATTGGCACAGCTCCAGCCATTGCGGTCACTTGGGGAGTGAATCAGCAGATGGAAGATCTTCCTCTCTATCTCTCCTCCTCTCTGTATATCTGCCTTTCCAATAAAAATAAATAAATCTTAAAAAAAAAGAACAAAATCTTTAAAGTTTTGACTACTTCTTAAAAATCGAGCAATTCAGCTTGACATCGTATCTTTTCTCTGATATTTGGCAGTGAATGTAGAATAAAAATGTGTAGGAATAACAGAGTTATTTTGGAAGAGGCCCGCCACTTTCTCTTGCTGACTGTAGTTAGCAGCGAATCAGGCCTGTGCATGTGATTACCGATGTGTCTGCAAAAATGGTGAGAGGGGAGGAGGGCAAGGGACTGAGTGCAAGTGAGGGAATGTGGCTGCCTTCTTCAACTGTACCCATGGAATGCGTAACGTCTTCTTTGTTTGGACTAATACAATTTTTAAAAGAACTTTCCTCCTTAAACCTAAATGAAAAGATTACCCCTGAAGACACTGAGCCCCGGGGAGAACATGAGCACCACGGCCTGAAGAGCCTCCGAGGGCTTCATCTTACCTAAACGCGGCTTCCAAGCCATGACACCTTACCCACCTAGACCCAAAATGCACTTTAACATTCCGGGGGGTTTTCATTTTCTATGACAGCTCTCTTCGCACTTAAAACTTAACCCATCTGTACGTTGCTCTTTTGTTAACCTTTTTGTTACTGGGGCTTCAGTTCTGAGGCCCCATGAATGGTAAGAAAAACTTATGCTCCCTGCATCATCAGAGGGAATAAAGGAAGATAATAGCACGCAGATTGTTGACAGCTTTTTCCTAAAGTCTCGATGATACACTTACAGTGAACCTATGGTTAATATTTAAGTTGTCACCAATGGAAAGTGAAAGAAAAATGACAGCAAAAGAAAATGAGGAGATAGGAACATTCATCTTCATTTCTATCCTTCCTTGATAAGATATCTAACATGTAAGCCCCCTTGCTTGTACTTCTGTTACAAAGTATCAGACGTAAGGTCCTTTGAGAAAGTGGCAAGACTCTAATTAAATGTTTTATATACCTGGAGACCCAAAGTGCAGGACAAAATGGGCTTGATGTTTAACAATGTACAGTCAATACCCCAGGGAAGGCTAAGAACTAAACTGCGAGATGGAACAGTAACCAATGAAGCATTTCAAAGCAACTCTGAACAGTGACATCACAAAGGCACTGATCTCTAGCCCTCTAGATAAATTTTGGTCACGGTGTGTCCACACCTAATAATGCATTGCTGATAATCGCAGTATAGTAACTTTAATAAATTAATTTCACATATTGTATGCATTACTCAAAAATAAAAATGGACCAAGTGACAAAAGCTTTTAAGCAAATGGTGACTACTATTTAAAAGAAACACATTTGAAAATAAATTTTCCACATGTTTACAGTTCTAAAATTACAAACTGACTAGAAAGCTGAATGTTATTACCACATCAAGACCAAAAGCAAACGCTAACAACACTTACCAGGGGCTTTGTTCTTGCACGATATCTGATTTACCATGTACAGATTGAGCAGGTCTAAACTGACAGCATTTTTGACAGGCGATGAAACTCCCAGTAACTTCATTTTTGATTTTAACCTGTTCTTTTCAAAATATTCCTAAAGAAAAATAAATTTAAAAAATATTGTAGTAACCATGTAACTTTAGGCAGAATCATAAATTTAAAAGGCCAATATTGCTATTAAATCATTGGGTGATGTTTTTATATCTCTATGATGCTAATCTGTAAGCTTATATAGAAATAAACATCACTTACACTAAGTTCTCCTAAGGAATCAGAAATTTGAAGCCTTTTAAGTCTTTTCTTAAACATATATTTATGAAGGAATTTTAAAAGTTATTCTTGAGGTCAAAAGATTGAAAAACTATTTCGTGGAAAGCAAAATTCTAAAGATCTGGAAATACACCTGTTAGCAAATTTTGTTTTTTACAATCATACATAAACCTAAAATGTCTTTAAAAACCAGAGCTGAGTTCCACAGAACCAAAAAGAGGGAAAAATGTAACTAAAGTCACGGATTCACGTCTGTAATAGCACAGCACCCCCGGGGTTTATTCTTTCAACCAAACCTACATGTAATTCTAGTTCCTCAGCCAGTTCTTACTTTCTTTCTGGCTATTTGAATTGTAATTATCATTCCTTATCTTCATTTTTTTCCTCTCACATAACAACCTAACTTTAACAACGCCAAAAGCATTTACTGGTTAAATGTTTATTTATGGATCTAATCTAAGTGCTGACAGTATAACTAACTATCTTCAGACATCTTCCCTCCCATTAAACAACGCAACATGAACCTACAATCATGACTATAAATGTGAGACGCCGAACGTGATAAAAATCACAGAAGGAAAAAGTGTAACATGAGGCCACAATTCCAAGAGTCACAAATCGTATTTCTAAGAGGTTAAGATACTCTCACATTCACATCTCAGAATATCAAGCAATAAAGAAAATGTCTTCAATAAACAAGACTTAAAAGGTATCTGGGTTGATTATTTCTTTTTTTAAGATTAATTTATTTTTATTGCAAAGTTAGATATTCAGAGAGGAGGAGAAACACAGAGGAAGATCTTCCATCCGATGATTCACTCCCCCAAGTGGCCGCAATGGCTGGAGCTGTTCCAATCCAAAGCCAGGAGCCAGGAGCCTCTTCCAGGTCTCCCACGCAGGTGCAGGGTCCCAAAGCTTTGGGCCGTCCTTGACTGCTTTCCCAGGCCACAAACAGAGAGGTGGGTGGGAAGCAGGGCTGCCAGGATTGAACCAGTGCCCATAGGGGGTCCCAGTGCTTTCAAGGCTAGGACTTTAGCCGCTGGGCTACCTTGCCAGGCCCTGGGTTCATATTTCATTTGAGTGCTCTGCAACAATACATTAGATTAGGTATCTTTTCAAGAGTCATATTGTAGTTCCACAATTAAGTAACAGTATTTTCACATTCCAAATTCTTTCACATGGTAAATTCTCTTAAAAATTATGACTATAGCAGACCTTGTAATTGGTCATGCTTTGGAATTAACAATGTTCTTTCTTTAGTTACTGACAGTCATGATAGATAAAACCATGACATAATTCAGTGTAGTAAGAGATGGTATAATATCCTCAGGAACAGAAATGAAGCTGTGGTCTGGAACAAGACAGGCAAAGGGAGAGCAGGGACAGGAGAAATATCACCCAGAGTGATGTCTGCGGGCCATAGAACAATACTCTGCCATCAGCCCGGCATCCAGAATGCCAACAGTTCATGTCCCGGCTGCTCCACTTCCACTCCAGCTTCCTGCTGACGGCCTGGGAGAGCAGCAGGGGACGGCCCAAGGCCTCAGGCCCTTGAACTAAAGTAAGAAGCAGGAGCCCAGGCTCCTCACTTCCGGCTTCCCATCGGCTCAGCTCCGGCCATGGCAACCCCCTGGGGAGTCAACCAATGCAGGGAAGATCTCAGTCTCTCCTCTCTCTAAATCTGCCTTTCAAATTTAATTTTTAAAAATCTTAAGAATAAAAGGAAAAAAACATGATTTCTGAGACAGATGAATGAGCCAGAACGACCTAAAGCAGGCAGGCCTTACGTGGTTCCAGGAACAGAGAACAGTAGAAACCAGTGCTTGGGGGCTTGGCCCTCGTACTCCAGCATGTCCACCCTCTACCTCCCTAGAAGTAACAACGTATGTGATCCATTTACCTGACCACAATACACCCAATCTTTCTGTTAAGTCTCAGCTGGTAAAAACAACTAGAAAGAAACTGACAGAGAATTAAGAAATTTTTCAGAAAATAAAATACCTTGGGGGTTGGCATAACGGCTTAGCAAGCTAATCCTCTGCCTATGGTACAGGCATCCCATACGGGCACAAGTCCATGCCCTGGCTGTTCCACTCCTGATCCAGCTCCCTGGTTATGGACTGGGAAAGCAGAAGTTAGCTCAAGCCCTTGGACCCCAGGACTTACCCGGGAGACTCAGAAGAAGCTCCCGGCTGAGCCCAGGCCAGGCCTCACCGTCTCCCAAGCATGCGGCAGTGGCCCATTTGGGTGGTATTTCGCTGTTTTCTCAGTTGCATCATCAGGGAGTCAGATAAGAAGCAGAGCAGCAAGGACTCAAACCAGCACCCACTTAAGATGCTGGTGTCCCAGGCACCAGGTTAACCTACTCCACAACAATGCCAGCATCAAGACTTCTTTAAAAAAAAAAAGAAAGAAAAAAAGATGAAGGTAATGATATGTGCAAGATTTTTCTGCTCAATAAGCTCACTTATACTGTAATATATTGTTATTAGAAAACAGCACAGTGAGACAACACAGCGCATGAGTTGTAAGTCCAGCAATGAAGGATGATATGAAGCAGAGCACTTCCAGTACAAGTAGGTCAGGTTGGGATACATTTTGAAAGTAAAATGACAACAAGAATCAACAAGGACCTCAAGTCTATATGAGCCAAACAGCCGCTTCATCCAGCTCTCTACAAGGGCAAACACTACAGAAGTGTGGCCCCGTCCCACACGTGACATCCTTACTGGTGGGAAAATGCCTCAACCACTGCTATCACAAGGCCAATAGAAACAAAAACGCATTTTCTTTACCTTTTGTTTTCTTCTTTCCTGCTTGATTAAAACTCTGGTCCTGAAAATAAAGTGTTAATAAATAATAATCATTAAAGCCATGGTCTCTAAGATTACTGCCATCTTAGCTGAGCTGAAAGTTTTTTTAAATGCAGTGATAACTATTATTTTTCTAAAGAAATTCCAAACATGCTCAAGTACTTTCATTGTGTAAGTTTCACAAAAATATTAGATATGAAATTCAAGCCGGAACAGAAAACATACCTATAATGAATAATCTAGCAAAAAAAAAAAAAATCTAAACTATAAAAGCAAAGAAAAATTAATCTGTAGAAAAGGTGTAATCTTAAAGCAACATTCCCAAGTAAGCACTTCTAATTTCTTTGCATTTCAACATTCTACTGAAATCCAAAGGAAACAGAAGTAAAAATCGACTTAGACTCTGGTGAAATTAGATGTGTTGGTAGAGCACCTGCGGATGCGACACAGCAGCAGTGTACCATGAATCTCAGGCCTTCTTTCTTACTCCATTCAGACTGTCATAATACCGTGAACACGGCATGTGGTGTCAGAGATCACAAAATGACTCTACAAGCTACGGTGCTTTGGTGGGCTAAGTTTTCTGATCTAAAGAAAAACAGGCCTAGGACTAACTCTCAATTTTCTCCTGCCTCCCTCTAATTCAGGTCACAGACACCAGAACTTTCCTTCCCTAAAGCCAGTTATGCAATCTAGACACACGAGACCCACATCACCAGGCTTTCCGTCCTGACTCACCTCGTGGTAGACAACGGGAACCTCATTTTAAAAAGCTCTGTCCCTGTACCCAGGAGGATGGCCACTGAGGTCAAACTGCAGGCAAGGGTCTGCGAGTAAGCAAATGACTGGGACCAAAGCCGAAGCCTGGGGGTGAGGGTCCACAGCTGGGCAATGAACTATGTACTTAAAGGTCTGCCTCAGACCGTCGGGGTCCTGACTTCTGTGCTTGGGCCACGCTGTAGATCCCTGATCATCGAGCACTGTCTTGCTAACATCAATATGGGATGTAGCTCTTAAAGCTTATTCCACATCATTTCCTATAATCTGACTCCCCCAGCAGTTCAAAAAAAAACTAAGACAGCAAGCCTAGTGGGTCAACCTCCCTCCCTAAGAAAAGGTTCTTCTGGGTGTGCTCTTTTTGCAGTCTTTATCTTGTGTCTGTCACAGTTCTTATTTTCTCAATTACACATCACCTCCGTTTCCAACTCTGCTAATGCCACTTTGCCAGCAATTACGGTTAGGATTTCAACACACAAATTTCAGAATAAATACAAACGGATCATAACACTATCTTCTAAAAACCTAGATAAGAAATACATGCATAATGACTAAGATTCTTATGCTAAATACAGCACTGAATATCAATGATACAGTACTATTTGACAGTAATAAAGTATTTGTTCTATTAATGTTTCACCACAAAACATTCATAAGCACGTCCTCAAACTCCATCTTCAAATGCAAGATCTATGCAATAATCGAAATGTCGGATCCTCCAGATCTGAATTGCCAGTGCTAGGCTTGAGCGTGCTTCCGTACGCGAGGCAGTAACACTGCATGTATAAACTCGCTCATCTCCACGGCAGGGCAAGAGGCTCATCTTTTTAACAGTAATTACTACATTATTCTGAAAACCAGATTTCTAAAGAAATAAATTCTAACCATTTCTTTCAATAGCCGTTTCCAGTATGGTTATGCAAGAGGTAGCTTGCAATCTCTTCAAAGAATACACTAGTAAGCTCTTCATTCTGAATGGTGGGAACAGATACTGTCTACATATTTCTCTGGTGAAGAAAAAATTTTAAATGTAAACACAGAATAAGGTGGGAAGGGGAAAAGGGAATTCAGGGTGAAGGGGAAGGAAGGAGAACGGGAGCTATCAACACAGAAAGAAGGAATACTGAAACGCACCCGGCATGTAAGGAGAGGCTCAAAGGAAACTGCCAGCAAGATCGTTTATTCACAAAGAGACACGTAAGCAACACGAACAGAATGCTTACACGGAACACACAGGAGATGCTGAGACCATATCACAAAGTAAAACTACAGACATCACAGAACTATCTTAGGCTCAGCTTAAATTCTGTTTTCTTTCAGTGGGCTTTCCTGATGAAGCCATTCCCTTAGATGGCACAGTGCCAGATATTAGAAACTAAAAATGTGATGATGTTAAATGTCTTGGGATGAAATCTGAAAATGTGTTTTAAAAAAATTAACATAGCAACAATGAGTAAAAAAGTCCTTTACAGTTTATGCTGCACCAAAATCCATGTAAATCTAAAAGAGCAATATTTAAAAATGTTTGCTAATGCACTCATTAAGATTCAGAGCCGTCCCTAGCCTAGAAAAAGTACTTAGACTGGCTCTGCACAAAACTAAAGCAGGTTGACCACACGTGTTACGAATACTAATGATTACAATAGAATGTCACAGATTTAAATTTTTACAAAGTAAGAGAAAAATGTTTTTACAGCTATATGAATTACAAAAGGAAAGGGATCGAGATTAAAATTGTCAATGAAGTAGAATTCCATCTAATGCCAACATACAAGACCAAGTTAAAGTTAGTTCTTGGAGACTGAATTCTTCCTGGGTTTTACACAGGAAACATTGTTGCACAGTTCCAGGCCGTGACCCTGGGGACAGACACTGATCAATGACACCGTGGAAGGTCTATTCACATCATCATTACTTCAGGATGAGAAATGAACGTATTCACATTTCTATTAGTACTGCTCTTGAAACACTAACCTGTTTTCATCAAATTCATTCAATATTTAACTGCAGTGTGGCCAATCATCACCAAAAACCTGTAAATTTTCCACAGAACCACCCCTGATAATCTTGCAGGCAACTCAACACAGAGTTTTAATAAGCAACATTAAAAAGGACAACACGATATATTCTTTCTGATACAAGGCAACATTCATGCAAAACACAAAAACAGCAGATACATAGCTAACCATGCATGTACATATATAGTCATTTAGAGGAACTGTGTAACAAGCTCTCGTATCCAGATTTGAAGATACAGTGCAGCACACATTTCTACTTCCAAATCAAAGATGCACTCCCAATGAAACTGTTAAATACATCTTGACAACAGGATGCTGGACTCTGCCACTGTTCATACCCACAATGTCAGGGTACATTTAGACAGCAGAATGATGCATTTAACGACTGTTTTTGAAGGACTATGCTATTTTAATAATATAGGGGAAATCAGTGGGAATGTGCAGGTTTGAGGAGAAGGCAGAGGGCAGAAATCCCAGAGTTTATGAAACTGTTTCATAAGATAAGTAGATAGAGCAGTAGCCTAGCAGCTGAAGTCCTCACCTTGTATCTACCAGAGTTCATATGGGAGCCGATTCTAATCCCAGTGGCCCTACTTCCCATCCAGCTCCCTGCCTGTGGCCTGGGAAAGCAGTCCAGCACGGCCCAAAGCTGCAGGACCCTGCACCAGCATGGGAGACCCGGAAGAAGCTCCTGGCTTCGGATTGGCTCTGCTCTGCTTGGGGAGTGAACCATCAGACAGAAGATCTTCCTCTCTGTCTCTCCTCCTCTCTGTATACCTGCCTTTTCCATAAAAACAAATAAATATTTTTAAAAAAGTAAATAAAAAAAACCCTATAAGTAAAAAAAGTAATATGCACTAATTCAATGCCTGTCAAATATGGTGACAACCTACAGTTATTAAATAAAAGTAAAGGTAATATCATTAGCTTTATACACATTTATATACATACACATAAATAATGTAAATAATTTATATACACACAGGTAGCTACATGCACCCCTTTTAGCATTTTTACGGACCAAAATACTGCTTTTGTTATATTATAAAATCCCTGAAATATTTTATATAAGATTATTTTCAAAAATATTTCAGAGAATCAAAATTACATTAGAACATTAAAATGAAAGTCTTTTCATCAATTATGAGGTTAAACAGAAACCAAATGCAAAAAAGTCATTTAAATATACTTAAGCTAAACTTGCCTGTAATACCATATGACTGATATTTTTCAGATAAAAATGTTATTTTAGTATTGGTTTATAATATTTAAATTCTCCTCACAAATTTGTAAGCTGTCAACTCCATTATACTAATAAATATAAAGTGTTGGCCCATCAATAAACACTATGAATAGCAGAGAGAGCTCTGATGCAGCGGTCCACTCCGCAGTGGCACCAATGGCCCCGGCTGGGAGCCAGGCACCAGGGACTCAGCCCAGATTCCCAGCACAAGCAGCAGGCCCCATCACCTGAGCCTTCACCCGCTGTCTCCGGGCACCGGGGCTGCTGGGAGCCAGCACATGGTGCATTCCTGTACAAGCACCATCTTCATCACTCCTTTGTACTCTATGTTTACAACAAAGTCTGGTCTGACAAATATGAAGGTACAGCAGAGAGTTCGTGGAAAAATACACAGCTAACTTCATCTTGATAACAAACAGCGTGTTAAATCCACACACTTTTTTTCGTAACACTTTCCATGACCTACCTTACAGATCCTTAAGGGTTCTAAGACTGTGTCTCCAAATGTCTCCATTGGATTTTGATATAAAGTTAATTAAAAGTAAGCACTCCAAAGCAGGCCACTGGCCTAGTGGTTAACATGCCTGCCCCCCCACATGGCAGTGCCTGCGTGTGACCCCCAGCATTAGCTGAATGCCCACCCCACGAGGCAGCAGGTACACAGCAAGGGAATGGCTCCCTGTCCCCCACGCGGGAAACCTGAACTGACTCCTGGATCCAGCGCCAGCCATGTCAGCCACTGTGGGCCTCCGGGTAGTGAACCAATAAACAGCATTCATACGCACAGCTTCCCTTCATCTCTCTCTATATACACATATAGAGGTAGAAATACACTACTTTTTAAAGAAAAGGCAGGGCATCATAGGATTCCTTGTACCAGTCACAGTATTCCAATATAGAATTTGAAAACCAAAAATAAATTTTCAAAGCTATTTTGCACAAAATCCCCAGAGCCTTATTTTCAGTAATTATGTAATGAAAGCTTCAGAAGATGTGATCTTTCTTTGATCACTCCATTTATATTACACTTTGAATAAAGATTTCCAAGTGTTTTTGAACAAAATGCCATAGTTCCAATTTTAGTAGATGTGCTGCCAAAGAGAACCCAAGAAAATGCCATCAAAACTTGGAGGACCAGCTTATGAAAATGTTCAGGAACAACACAGCACCCAACTTTTATGCAGGAATTGACTCTTTAGAGAGGAAAAACGTGAAAAATGAATTAAAAGCAGTAAAGAAAACAAGCTTACAACACAGAGAAGTACTCTTTTTGTTCTGAAAAATTCATCTTAAGAATATTGTAGTTCAGTGAATATTATGGCACAGTTATTCTACTACCTAAAATGTCCTGGAAAATCTCTTTAAATACTCTTTATTCATGAGAATGCCTCAATCCACGCGCAGTTTAAAATCCTCCTTCCTAGCTGTAACTGTGGTCCACTGACCGTGGCCTTGAAGTGCATCGCGGGCACCAGCTGCATGGTCAAACAAGCACCTGCCGCTTCACCAACGTTGTATTCATACCGTTACGGGAACAACCATCTTCAACTCAGTACTTCATGGAATTCACTAACTGTATTCACAGTAAAGTTAGATGTTCCACTTTGACAGAATAAATTTCCAAGAATTTCTTTTAATTCCAAAAATTACATGAAAAAAAATATTGGAAATAATTGTCCATTTGCAGTATTTGATGGCAGTGACATAAAATCACACATTTAATCAAGTTCTAATAAAGGCCACACATACACAATTATGGTCTATCTATACATAAGAAAATGTATATTTTAATTAATTCAGAAGTCACTTGAGCTAAGCAAAAAGTCATACCCCTAAATGCAGCTCCTGCAATTAAACTTATTAAACTGCTGTCTGCAGGCATCATCTCCTCAAAATAATCACTGCTAAACTAAACCCTGATTTTTTTTTTTTTAGATCTAAGTCTTCAGGTTTTCATGTGATCAATAATATAACCAAAAGGAATGCTAAATACGGGCTAACATTTAGTGCACAAGTTACAGAGTCATCAACTTTCTTGAAAATCGGAATGCAAGCAGTCTTCCCTCAAGCCTTAAAGCTTCCTTTTCCCTACTGCCAAAAAGATTCTTATAAAAGCATTACCATACCATATGGAAAAATAAACAGCTGTGGACAAAACCATTGTAGCAATGGCATTCATGCTTGACGTGCTCTCACAGAGCAGGTTATTTGAAATAACAAACATTTCATTCTCTCTTGATCTCAAATTTCCCATTTTCTACTGACCCCTCCCCAAGGACAAGCGCTATGCCATGCCCTCAGACCTTAGCAAGCAATGATTCAGCCAGCTGGCACTCCACAGGGCCACACTGCCCACCCAGTGATTGGCCTCTAGCCACTCTAGTCCTAGGCCACGTCTTGGTATCAGCAAACACCTCTACTGCTATCTTTTACAGGAGCTGCTAGTAGCTTTCCATCTGGAAAGCAGCAAAATAAGAACTAGATTCTTATTCAATGTCTCAGATTTAAACATATGTTAATAAAACAAGGACTTTACCACACATAGGACTTGAACACTAACAGAACAGAGGCAAAAAGTAAGATGTCCACCGAATATAATCATTCATTTTAATGGAACTATTAAATCTTGACTATTCCAAGCAAACTGGAATGATATCCACTGGACCTTTAAGGAGCATATGCATTTAACACATTAGCAGAGAGCCACACAAACCCAGAAAATAAGTTATTCAAGACCCTTTAAGCAAATGAGTCCCTTTCCAATGCCTTATATCTAATTTCGTAGACACAGTTTTGCATTGCTTTTCCATACAGATAGCTATCTGCAGCCTGGATCTGCCAAGCCCTGGTTCACTACCCAAATGCCCACAATGACTGGAGCCAAGAAACACAAAGATGGTTTCCCAGGTAAGAAACAGAAGTTCAAGGACATGAACCATTCCCTGCTGCCTCCCATGGTGTGTGCTGTGCTTCAGCAGGGAGCTGCAACTGGCAGTGATGCTGGGACTGAAGCACAGGCACTCCAACATGGATTGCAGGTACCACAAAGTAGCATCTGAACTGCTCTGCCAGAAGTCCGCACCAATTACATACATTTTTACGTCATGTAATTTTGGACTCTGATTTCACTATTTTAAGATTTATTTATTTATTTATTTACTTACTTACTTATTTTATTGAAAAGGAGAGAAAGATTTTCCACTGGTTCACTCCTCAGATGGGCAATGGTTGGAACTGAACTAATCCAAACCCAGGGTCTCCCATGGGGGATGTGGGGTGCCAAGGCTTTGGGCCATCTTCTACTGTTTTCCAAGGCTGCAAGCAGGGAGCTGGATGGGAAGTGGAGCAACCTAGATCCCAGCACCTGATATGGAGGATTAACCAGTTAAGCTATCACACCAGGCCCTCAACTGTTTTCACAGTTAAAAACAAGTTATACTATTCTCCCCCAATAAACCATGAACCTCCAAGAAAGCCAGTGCCATTCAGTTCCTTTGTGTTCACAGCTGACAGAGTGCCTGTAATACACAATGCAGTAAGTATTTTGTGCAGGTGAACTACATTAAGGCTTACACTTAAAATAGTAAATCCTTCCTCTGTTCCAACATAACTTCACCTGCGCTCTCTTAAGACACTAGCTATCTTCTCCATCCAGAAATACAACAACAAGTTGCTCTACTTTAAGGAGCAAAGTCTATGCTGCATTTATAATGTACTGACAGGTCAATAGTCCACCTGAGTCTGGAGAAACGGCAGTGTGATGGACATCTGAGGGCACTGGGAAGACACCTAGTGAGAGACTGGAGAGCAGGACAAATGGGGGGGGAAGGAGGGGAAACCCCAATGCCTATGAAACATGTCATGAAATAAAATCTAAAAAAGTACTCTGCCCACATCTGTGAGTAAAGAGAAAACTTTCCCAAGTTGACTCTGTGGTTTCTTAAGCCCGTGGTACCTCATACCCCAGGTGCTGCAGCACTTCAGTCTGAGAAAACAGGATTCCCACACTATCCTATTTAAGCACCCTCGCCAATAACAACCAAAACACCTCCGAAGTGTCAACAAACGCTTGTAACACAACAGTAACACCTATCTTCTAATATCGCTTAAGAAGCAGTAAAAACGACTCAGCATCTTATTCAACACTCATTTTAACAAGGTCGAGCTCAGGGAGCGGGCATTCAGCCGAGGGATTCAGAGGCTCACTGCCCACGTCACAGCGCCCAGCTGCGGGCCCCAGCTGCGGCCTCTGAGTCCACCGGCCAACCAGGGGCCAGCAGGTGCACGGCTCGGGAAGGTTCGCGTCTGCTGCCCACAGGAGAAAACACGGGTGCAGCTCCAACAAGCCCCTCGCTCCCGACCCTTCTGGAGGGTCAGGGGAGTGAAACTACGCATGGCATGAAAAACCCCAGAGAAAACCACAAACCATCAAATTAAAAAACAGCAAATTACAATCAGGTGTCGACCAGGTCCTGGGAAGCCTACCAGTGGCCGCATCTCTCCAAAATACTGCTTCAACACAAGCCAGAAATGGTCAGGAAGTCGTCTGAAGTAACACGAAACTACCACAGGACAAACGCGCGTGCTCAATGCATTATACACAAAGTCCTTGCAGAACACACACAGTCTCTCCCCTCACCCCAGTCTGAATAATTAAAACCTAACGGCCAACGCAGGGAAACCTCGCGCGCGGACAGGCACCACAAGCCACGAGCACCTGGCCTGCTCTGTTTTCCCAGGTCCTCCCGTGTCCTCGCGGACACACGGGCCCCGGGGAGCGCAGGTCTCAGAGCCTGGGTCACCCCGGTCACCCCGGTCACCCCGGTCACCCCGGTCACCCCGGGAGGCAGCGAGCCTCGCCCTTGGCCTCCCCAATGCGAGGTGGCCGAGCACCCTAAGCGCGGAACGGCCTCCCTGACCCTTCCAGCCAGCCTCCCCAAACGCGCGTCCCCCGCGGGGCGACCCTGTTGGGATTCAGCCACACAGCTTACCGGGAGCCCCCGACCCAATTCATGCTGCCCTGTCTTCTGTCTTCCGACCGAGGGGTCTCCGGAGCTGACCTTATAGTCCTGCGCCACGGCAGCGGCCTGCCCAAGGCCCCTTCCCAGCAGCTCCTGTGCCCACGGTCCTTCTTCCGGCCCGGGCCTGACGTCAGGGCAGGCTGCTTCCGGTCAGGGCCCACTGCCAGCATGTCCGCGGCCACGTCCAGGTGGACCAGGGTCCTGATGAAGCTGCCGCTCGGGCTAGGCAAGCCTGTGCTGACGGTGGTCGCAGGCTTAGAGGCTGTGGCCGTCTCCACTCCAGGTGGTCACTTAACTAGAAATACAAATGAGTTGTTTCCTTGCGTGGAACTGGAGAGCTGCAGAGCTGCCGTCTGCTCCCTTCCTCCGGCCACAGCGAGGCGTGGAAGCACAGGTTAGGCCAAGGAAAGGCTCCTCCGTGACACATGCGCAGATCAGCTTTCCCCGAGTGTTCAAAGGCAAAACTCATGCGCTCAAGTAGCTCTGTATGCAACAGCTGAAACGTTGCCCTGATACCTTCGCTGCGGCGCAGCCCTTGGTAAGGGTCCAACTGTGTGCTGTTTCACGGCCAGAAGGGCAACTGCGCATTCTCTGGGGGCAGCGAAGAGACCAAGGGAGCCACAGAGCACACACAAAAGTACTCCTTAGTGGTCTTGACAAACTCTTGAGAAATTGTAATCCTTAAATGGTCTTCACTAGCTTCTGAAATGTATTTGCTTTCTGGTGATTTATAAATATGTAGTGCATAGGTAATTCACAATATGCATATGCTTGAATATATTCACGTAGATGTGTATGTAATTAACACAATGGTATAGCTTCTGATGTTTAAACGTCAAGTGTTTGCATGTATGGTTCCTAATACATGCCCTCCTGTGGGATTAGTGTAACCACTTTCCCCTGCGTATTGGTAGTGTCTGTGAGAGGGTTAACCCACCGGGAAAAGTGATTTATGAATCACTGCTTCTCAGATTTTTTTTTTTTGTCATTTTCAACCTTTTTCTCGGTTTCTTTCTTCCCTCAAGGAAACTTGAATGTGTTCTCATATAAATCCAAACAGTTGAGAGGCTTCTGCAGAAATTAGGCGTAAATATGTTTTGTACAATTACCAGTGATTTTTTTAACCTTTTTCTCTCCTAGTTTGAATTTGCTAGCTTGTTGTTATTATTGATTAAAGCACACTCTCTCACTCCCCTGGCAGACATGACGCTCTGTCCTCTCGGGTCCTCCCCGAACACCAAGTCCCTGAGCTGTGGCTGGCACCGAGGCCCAGGTGGCCGAGGTCAGGGCTGTCCCTGAAGGACTCCCCCACGTTGCAGGCGCTGGCCACTGTTTCTACGTGTCTGTCTTGGTCATTTTGCTTTACCCGGTTCTTTGTTCTCAAGTCTTTCCCTCTGTGCATGATCAGCTTGCTCCTCCTGCCGCCCAACCTCATCTATTGGTTAACTGACTTGCCAACAGGTGAACATGGCCATGTTCGGGGCTCCAGGCTCCCCACTGCCCAGGTCCCTCCCTGATTGGGCTGCCAGTGGTGGAGGCTGCCTGACGCAGGCATCCCTCTCTGTACCATGTGTCACCTAGCGGAACATCCTGCCATCATCATCTACACTTCAGGCTGAATCTGGCCCTCAACCTGCTCTGTCACAATTAACCTTTCTGTAATTAGCTGTCAGAAGTTGTGATATAAATAATTAAAATTTACACATGTGGAGTTGGCACTGTGGGATATTAGATTAAACTTCTGCCTGCAATGCTGGCATTCCATATGGACACTGGTTTGAGTCCTGGCTGCTCCTTTCCAATCCAATTCCCTGCTTATGGCCTGGAGAAGCATCAAAGGATAGCCCAAGAGCCTGGTCCCTGAACTCGTGTGGCAGACCTGGAGGAGACACACAGCACCTGGCCTCAGACCAGCCTAGCTCAGGCCGCTGCAGCCATTTAGAGTGAAATAACAGATTGAAGATCTCTCTCTCCTGCTCCCTTCTGTTACTCCTCCTCATCTCCCTCTGTAACTTTGCCTTTCACATAAAAGATATGTTTTAAAATTTACAAATGTAGAGGATAGCGTATTGGGTCTGCTGGCTAATCCTCCACCTTCAAGTGAGGCATCCCATATGGGTGCAGGTTTGTGTGTCCTGGCTGCTCCACTTCCCGTCCAACTCCCTGCCTGTGGTCTGGGAAAGCAATCGAGAAGGGCCCAAAGCTTGGGGACCCTGTACCCACATGGGAGACCCAAAAGAAGATTCTGGCTCTGGATCAGTTCAGCTCCAGCTGTTGCGGCAATCCAGGGAGCAAACCAGCAGATGGAAAATCTTTCTCTCTCCTTTTCTCTGTGAATCTGCTTTTCCAATCAACGTTAAGAAAAATCTTTAAAATAATTTACAAATGTCTTTGGGTTGCCTTGTACCTAGGCAAGTATTACACTGTTGTTAGAAAATCAACCAGTACTTGGTGGGCATTCTGGACCCGGTTAATGCCAAATTTTTATTAACTATACCAGTGTGCCAGCATGGTTGCCTATTCTTTTTTCCTAAGAACATTGAAACAAGAATTGCACATGGTGTCCACATTCTAAGGTATTCTTTTGATATCTTTTCTGAACTACTTTAGAATGTAAAAAAAAAAAATGTTTTTAATTAAAGGTAACATAAAAATAAGAGTCAGATTAGAGTTGGCCCATCTGTTGCAATGCTCTGACCCCTGTCTAAACTAATGCATATCTTTCCAGGTTTTCAATTGACCAGAAATATATATTTATGTTTGAGGATAGAGAAAAAAAATGCTTTTCCCACATCAAAAATATAGTCAGCCTTGCCTAAAGAATCTCATTTGCATTTTTAAAACCAGGCAAAATTGTGCTTGGCTGTTAAGCACTACAAATTAGAGATTTCAAATTAGACATTACAAATTACAAATTCGGGATTTCAAGGATATTTTTTAACACTCTTTTTATCAAACGACAAAAACAAAAACAAAAAAACGGAAATAGAAAGTGGCCAGTAAGATTCACCCCAAGTAGAAGGAACAAGGAGTGCAAATGACCAGGAATTCCTAGTTAGATCCTGGGGGAGCTATTTCTGTCACCCAATTCCAGTTTGGCTTCCCACAAGGTATCAAAACTTGCACCCGTTTATTTCATTGTCTCCTTGTAAACATTGTAAACAAGAAAGCGCATGGCTAGGAAATTACGGGGGTTGGAGGTGGGGAAGGCTGGAGGATTTTCCTCACACGGATGGAGTGGACAAGGAAGAAAGGTTCCAGGTACGGGATTATGCTGCACCAGGTAGGCCGTCAGTTACCGAGGGAACCTCGTGTGGCATCTCGGTGGGCGCTGAGGTGGGTGCTGCGGCGGGCGCTGGGCTCTCACAGCGCGCTGCGGTAGGAGCTGTGGTGGGTGCTGGGCTCTCGCCGCGCGCTGTGGTGGGCGCTGCGTTGGGCGCTGGGCTGTCTCCAGGGATGCGCGCTGGGCCCGAGAGGCGCGGGGCGTGCTCAGTGGCGGGGCGACCGCGTCTCCGAGGCGGGCGCCCGGCGGGAACCGACCTCTCCAAAAATAAACGCTGAACTCTCGGCTCCCGTGAGTGAGGCGCTAAACCCCGGCGCTCCCGCTCTCCTCCTCCAGGTTCCGCGCCCAGCGGCCGGTGGTGCCACGGTCCCCGTGCCCGGCAGCCAATGAGGGGCCGGGGCGGGCGGGGCGCGCGGGGCCGGCGCGTGCCAAGGGACGCTGCGCGCGGACGGATGCTGCGCAGTGAGCCCGGGCGGCCGGGCCGGCGGCGGGACCCCGGAGCAGTGGCTGCCCGCCGGGCATGCTCTCCTGAACGCGGGTTCCGGGCGAAGCCGGTGCAGGCTGCTGAGGGAAGATGACAGCCTTGCTGGGCGCGGCGGCCGAGCGGCTGAGGTGGCCCCGGTCGAGCGCCGTGCGGAGGGCTGCCTGCCTGGCCGCTGCGGCGTACGCCCTGAAGAGGCTCTACCCGGTGCTGGACAGGCGCCTGCGGGCCCCCGAGAGGACAGCGGCAGCCAGGGACGCACCGCATTGCACCGTGAGCGGAGGCGGACAGCCGTCACCCGCGGTGAACGCGGATTTCTTCCGACAGCTGCTGGCCCTTCGGAAGATCCTTTTCCCCAAACTTGTGACCGCCGAAACGGGGTGGCTGTGCCTGCACTCGGTGGCCCTGGTCTCCAGGACGTTTCTGTCCATCTACGTGGCCGGGCTGGATGGGCAGATCGTGAAGAGCATCGTGGAAAAGAAGTCCCGCTCTTTTGTTATTAAGTTAGCCAAGTGGCTTATGGTGGCCATCCCCGCCACCTTCGTCAACAGCGCCATCAGGTACCTGGAGTGCAAGCTGGCCCTGGCCTTCAGGACCCGCCTGGTGGACCACGCCCACGAGACCTACTTTGCAGATCAGACTTACTACAAGGTGATCCACATGGACGGCAGGCTGGCCAACCCTGACCAGTCCCTGACGGAAGACATCATGATGTTCTCCCAGTCGGTGGCCCGCCTGTACTCCAACCTCACCAAGCCCATCCTGGACGTGCTCCTCACGTCCTGCACCCTCATCCGGACAGCCACGTCCAGGGGGGCCAGCCCCATCGGGCCCACCGTGTTGGCGGCACTGGTGGTGTACGCCACAGCCAAGGTGCTGAGAGCCTGCTCGCCCAGGTTTGGCAAACTGGTGGCCGAAGAAGCCCATAGGAAAGGCTACCTGCGGTACGTGCACTCCAGGATTATAGCCAACGTGGAGGAAATCGCCTTTTACAGGGGACACAAGGTAAGAGAGTAAATGAGGCAGCAGTGAAACTTGAGCGCAGGCAGGCAGTCCCTGCGTGCCACACTGGCCATCTGTGGTGCGGAGGACCCCTGGTCACCTCACCAGACCTCAGAATTCCCAAAGGCACCAAAACGCAGGCTTGCTGACACCTTCCCCCATCACAAGCTGGTAGCGAATGGGTGCAAACTTCTCTAAAGTTTCCGGAGAAAATGTTTTCTCAGACACACATACACACACACGCTACTTGGGTCAAGTGTGTTCACATAGATCCCAAAAGCTTATTCCAAAAGTCCAATGCTGGCTGACCCAGGAGGTGGTTGGCATTTGAAGTAGGTAATGGCAGACCAGGAGTGGACAGGGCTGCACCAGGAAGAGGGGTTTGTGGTGGGCTGAGTTGTCTA